CCGGCGCTGCACACGTGTTTGGTTGGTTGGTGATGGTGGTTGAAAAAAAGTTCTCTCCGCAAAGGGCAGCAGTAAATCTTTGACACAGACGAAAACCTTTAAGCGCATATCAAACGGCAGCTCAAACTTTACGAGTAATTATGCGGAGCTTGCTTGCAAGCATAATGAAATCAAAGACAGCACACGTTTTTTTCACGCTGTACTTTCTCTCTCTCTCTCGCTCTCTTTTTCTCTCTCTTTCTCTTTCTCTGCTTCAGTATGTTATTCGTACGTATGCGTATGTGTATACGTGTTGACGAATATTTCATTTGTTCGCATCTACGGCAGTGCTCATGCTGATCGTGTATATCATGCGAAGCGAATGAAAAAAGATGTACAAATTAATGACGCTCTTATTTTTATTGATGTTATATTTTTTAATAATGGACGATATTTTTCTTCTCTCAAACTATATATCTCCTATTAGTCGTATGTACAAAAACGATAAAAAAGAAAATAAACAAATAGAAAATAGACACTAACTTATCATATAAAATCAGAGAGCTCATACAAATTGATCGAATGTACAGTAATGTGTGTTTGCATATAAACACTTAATTGACAGTAAATAATAGTCGTTGGACACATATAAAAATTTCTCGTACGCGTGAGAGTACGAGAAAAAAATAGCAGCAGTAGTAGCCGTAGGAAAAAAAGGAAAACGAAGAAACAGTCTCTCTCCTTCGGCGTTGCTTGCTGCTGTGTGTATATATGTATATAAACGAGTGAGGCGTTTCATTTTTGCACTATTCGCACTCGTCAACGAAACTCAATAATCCCCCTCAGAGCTCGTAGTTCAGTGAGATAGAGGGAGATACCTACGCTTGCGCGCACGCGTCTGTTTTTTCGTTTTTCGAGCCGAGTGTAGTAGACCATAGCGCGCTCTCGCGTTCTCACTCTCTCTCCCTGCCTGCACTCACTGCAAGATAATAAACCCTCTCTATAGCTAGCTTCACTACTACAACTCTGCGCGCGTGTACCCCCCGTTTTATCTATTATCCGCAAATATATTTATAATATATTCGTCATATCTGTATAATTCATATCTATATATTCATTGTCGTATATATATAAAATCCATACTCTTACGCATATAAATATTTATATATGCAACATACTCAATAATCGTAATAATGATAATAATGAATAATAATGTAATAATCGTAAGTGTATAAGATAGTTAGGCATAGCCACTCGTGCTCTCGGATCACAGACTACGACAATCTCTCGCTCTATCTCGGAGCACGACGCCTTGGCTCTCTCGCTTAATTTTTTGTTGAGTTAAACGTTACGTATGTACAGTTAATCATCATCGCTCGTTCGAAACTTACCGAAAGGCTATGCAACTCGCGCGCTTATTTGTACGTATGAGATTGAGGGAACGGTGTGGAACGGGGAAACGGGGGGAACGGGGGACAAAAAGGACGATTGGGACACGGGGAATTGGCGGTTGATGAGGGGGAGTGATGTGTGACTAGGGGGTTGGGACTTGCGAGGGAGACGATAGGGAAGGGTATAGTAGTTAATAGAAGGGTCGTATAAAGGTTGTATGTGTGTGTAGGCCGTCGTCCATCTCTCTGGTTGCTGCTGCTGCTGCTGCTGCGGCTTATGTACATCCTCGTCGTCTTTTTCTTCTCTCTCTTTAGTCGAATGGCGGCGGCAACAATTTGCGTCGTCAGCAAGCCGATGTCTCCTCGCCCTCCAGCGTGCACGCCACGTTTTCCAAACGGTTGCGCCAGATGAAGCTTACAGCAGCCCGGATCCGTCTCCAACGCTTCTAGGATCTGTAAGCAGACGGAACAGACCAATGCGCTCAGCTTTTTTCTTATCAATGCCGACGTGGGGATTTGTTTGTCCTAATGGACGAGTCTCGCGTGGCTCTCCCTTTGCTGGAGATGCGTCGGCCGAGAGAAGAGGAGAGGGATGATCCGGCAGGGGTCTGACGCGCACGGGACAAAGCAGAGTGTTGGCTTATTTTCAGTTTGACCCAGAATATTTGTCTCCGTGGTGCAGGCACTTTCCTTCTTTTTGAAAAGACAGTGTGGAAACTGTCTATCCTTTGGTCTATCAGCGAGCAAAATATTACATTCGCTAATCCGAAGATTGACGATCCATGGCGGATCTACGGAAAGCGAAATTGGATGATACTTGCCAAAGCATTATTGATAGTTTAATAATGGCTGAGCGTATTATCGACAGCGTCGCCGTGGAATATCGATTTGGGGGCCGCGAGCAGCCGGATCCAGTGTATTTATTTGATTTCCATTTGCAGTCGAGAATGGAGTCGCGCGCGGCGCGCTCCAAACGAGATATCTATTAGAGCACAGGCGGCTGATGCTGGCAAAAGCAACCTTTCCTCGTTTTCATTCGAGCGCAAGCTCGAAACTTTCGAAGCCCAGCGAAGAAATGCAGCAAACGTTTCGGAGCTACACGTCATTCTACGAATGAGCGAATGAATTTGACTTTGGAAGCTCTCGCGAACCGCTACTTATATTTTGGCGTCGGCGGGAAGAAAACTAGAAAATTCCCATCGGATTTGAAAGCGCAAACAGATGTATACACGAGCGTTCTTTATCTCCTTATTATTCGTATCATTGTTGATGCTGGTGCTACATCGTTGTAAATATTGGAATGCTCTCCATTTGAACCGTTTGAAAAATAGAGTACGCGCGCTCGTCGATTCCCGCTTTATAAAGCCAGCCAGAGCTCCTAAGAGTAGAAAATATCGAGTTTTTCTAGGCAACCACGGCTGCGTTGGATATGTAAGGCATCACCATAGAATCGGGAGCGTATTGTCGCGTTCCGTGTTATTGCGCCAACTAAATAATGCATTTATGGAAGATTGCACAGACAACAACAGGCGACTGGCGACGAGCAAAACAGTCTATACGTATTAATAGCAGAGCTGGATCGGCCGGAGGGGGGAGGGCTCTTTGCGTAGCTGCGCGGGCAATGGGAGTTCAGGTCAACAGGTTAGCAACTTGGTAGCCTTATCAATAATCTATGCCGTTTGCAAATGCTTCGCCTCCAGAGGCGGCGGCACTGCCGTACGTGTCAAAGGGCTGCCCGGCCCGCGGCTCGGCGTTTTTTCGCGATTGCGAAAGCAGAGGCTCGCTGCTGTCGATAGAGCGAAAAAAAAGTGTGCTCTTTTTATGAAAATGGAACGTTCAACTCGGCTGAATGTAGATGTATTGTGCAAACAGGCTGCGCGGAGAGTCGCGATGTAGGCGCTGCTTTGGAACGCGCGCGCTACAATATTTTCCTTTTAATTTTTGAAAGAGGCTCGGGCATATTCTATTCATCGGCATTATCGAACGCGAATAAATATTGGAAACACTCGGCAATTGAAAAGGGAGCAAAGAAAAAGAAGCGAGACCACTCGCAATCAGACTAAACGCAGAAGGAAATAATTTGATGCCGAGGGATGAGAGAGAGAGAGAGAGAGAGAGAGAGAGAGAGAGAGAGGAGAGAGAGAGAGAGAGAGAGAGAGAGAGAGAGAGAGAGAGAGAGAGAGAGAGACCACTAAGATTCATTCACTGCTGCATTTTCATGCTTTTTCATAATCGTGCGAGCCCACTTGATGCTTTTCGGGCTATAAGAAGGTGCAAATTAGGAAGAAAATAAGGTATCCGTTGATGCACGCGCGCCACAACGACACCAAAAAATTTCTGTTTTAATCAATTGTCAAAGAAATTGTAATAAGAAGGCACGCGTGCGCGGCGGCCGTAGCTCTTTCCGCCGATATTTTTATTCAGTTTTTTACGTATTAACGGGGAAAATTTGAGGGAACAAGCGTGGTTCAAGTGCGAACGAGGAAAGGCAAGTTGAACGTAGCTTTGGATGAAAAATGCGTGTGGGATTTTTTAATGACGCCAAACGGTCATTAACCCCGGCCGTCGAGTCCGAAAGGAGCCATCATTATATCGCGATTTCCTTCACTTCACGTGTCTATTTCGCATCTGAATTTCACTTGAAATACGCCTACCATTTGCACTACTCTCAGAGTGGTTTTATTTTGCGAGCAGCATGCCTAAAGCAATTTGCGCTACTAGATTTTAATTAATTTTGCAGTGTTACGGAGTCGAATGATTATTTTTCGGCCTGGCTCCTGTACAAATGCGTACTTTCAACAAATTTGTATGGTGCTTTGCCTGCATATAATTTCGCAATTCCTCATTGACTTTACGCGAAGAATAATAATACTTTTGATTAAATGGAAAGACTGTGCACGTGTGCGACGACTTAAAAAAGTTTATTCGGTGAAAGTAGCTCTGTCATTAAACGCTCCCGCTGCTGATTTTTCTCCGCGCACTACAATTTGCCGCAACGAACAAATATAATGTCTTGTGTATAAATCCCCGTTGGAGCAGCAGATAAAGTTAACAGGATTTTCGCTACGATATTCCGACAACATTCGAACTTTGCTAGGCCAAAAAAGAACCAAGCTTTCTGCTCTCTAACGAGATTTCCGCGCTGTATTACATAAAGTAAAAAAGGGTTAACATAAGTCCTGCAATATGAAGCTTGCAACCGCAAGAGAGAGAGAGAGAGAGAGAGAGACAGAGAGAGAGACAGAGAGAGAGAGAGAGAGAGGAAAAAAGTGTCGCCGAGCGCGCAAAAAGTATACATATATACATGGGGCTTTGGCGGGAAAGGAAATGAGAATCGGCCTCTTACCTCGCCGTAATATTTGCCAACGTAGATATAGAGCTCCTTGAGCGCAGCTATAACGTCGAACTCATTGGCGTGCGAGGCGCTAAGCTGTTGCATGGCACTGGACATCTCCTGGTCGGTGATGAGCGGCAAAGCGCTGCACCTCGGCGTAGAACTTGCCGACCTTCTCCCGGTAGTGCGGTATGTCTTTGGCGAAGAGAAGCTTGTTGGAGGGCGAGTCCTTGCCTAGTCGGTGCTCGCTGGTGGAACAGGCGTCCATGAAGGTCTGCGCGATGACCGACAGGCTCGAGTCGACCGTCGGCGACTTGTCAATGTCGAACATGAAGTCCGGGTTCTTGATGAAGTTCACCCAGAAGCGCAGGGGCAGACTGTTGGACTTCCAGGCGTGCGGCACCTCGGGGATCGAGTATGTTATGCTTGACGGCCGCCTCGTCGAGCAAGTCGAACAGCCACTTGACGGCGCTCGGCAGCGCCTCGTTGGCCGTCAGGATGGTGTTAAAGAAGTCGTCCACGAACTTCTGCACCGTACCCTTGGTCGAGAGCAGACGCGTGAGAAAGATCTCCGGGATGGCCTTGTGCGTACGCTCGGGCTGCAGTCCCGGCGGTAGCTTGCCGCTCGGAAAGCCCAAGCCCGAGGCCGTACGAGCCGTCCTCCATCGCCGGCCTCACCTGTAATCAGCACGCACAAGTTTGCCACTTCAGAGGAAGCCTTGATCATTTTTTCAACCAGTCTCCGTCGTCGTTATTACATCGCTTGGCAGACGTTATTAATGCCGCCGCGGCGCAATATCGAGAGCAAGCTGTTTTATACCTTTGGTAACCTACATACATATTATATTTCGCCTCGCCCGCTTTTTTCCGCCCTTTGTCCCCGAGAATTTCGCGTAGCCCTTTGACTACGAGTTCCCGGTATTTCAATATGCCCGCACTCTCGTAGCTACGCTTTTTAATTGAAACTACAGCACGCATATAGATACTCGCACACGTGAGCCAGCTATATGAATATTTTTATCATTATACACAGTCCAGATATTCCAGAGGTAATTTCAACAATTATCGAAATCGTTCGGTTTCCACGATTTCCGCGTAATTTTTCTCTCTCTCGAAAAACAGGACTTGAAAAATATCCCGAGCCGTAGTCTTTGTTTCGTTGATTTGATGCGCAGGAAAGGCAGGAAAGGCGGGAAAGGCGGGAAAGGCGGGAAAGGCGGAAAAAAAATTGTTAAAAAAAGCCCCGAGCGTTTTCGGTTTGCCTCTCGAATCGCGCGCAGATTGAAACGCGGAACAGCGGTGCGTAAAATTAATCAAATCCCGTGGAGAAATCAAGGGTGGAAAAAAAAGAAATTTTCCAGCGTAAAAAATAATTAGCCGCGAGAGAAAAATAATATCCTTTGGTTAGATCGAGGATTGAAAGTCGGAAGGATGGCGGCTCCCCTGATATCGATTAGAAGAGTGCTATGGTGCCAATAGAAAAGCTGGCATATCTCGCGTGATGTTAATTAATGTAAACGTGTATAGTGACCGCTTTCTCTTTGTGCGAGCGTCCGCTCGCCTCCGTAAAGCTAATAAAGAAGGAGAGAAGAGGCAAGCGTGAAATCTTAATTAAATTTGTTGACTTTGGGCAATTGAATAAACTGCACTTGCTCGTTCCTTCCGCATAAGCGAGCTACATTTTTCATTTCAGCGCGACCTCTAAATTTATGAAAATGCCGCGGGGGGGGGGGGGGCGGCTCGGTCGGCGCCACAGCAGCGCGCTAATGAATAGTTTAATTAGAGCGCCAGTCTGGCAGAGCTCGGCGGGCCGTGATCGCCGGAAAACGATCGGTGCGCACCAAGCCTATCCGACCAAGAGCCGATCCGCGAATCCGCGGAGCCGAACAACTTACCAGATGGTAGAGCCGCTGACTGGAGGCGTTGTGCGCTCTCGACGTCACCGTTGGCGATGATCGCGGGCGGCGAGTGCTGCCCGTCGAAGTAGATGCCGGTGCCGCCGGAGTAGACGCTGGCGGGGCCAACGAGCGCGTGGCCCGGGTGATGGTGATGATGGCGGCGATGGTGGTGTGGTGCAGCGCAAGCGCCGCGTGGCGCGCGAGGGGTAGTGCGCGGGCGGCGCAGGTGGCGCGGGCGGCGCGGCGTGCTGCAGGTGCAGAGCCGAGCCGCCCTTGCCCAGGCTGGCGCTGCTGCCGCACGCGGGGCAGGACTGCTTGCAGCCGAGCGAGAAGGCGTCGTTCTGACGCAGGATCAGCGACATGACGGCCGACTCCTTGACGCCGTAGTGCGCCAGCGTGTTGACGCGCTTCCAATCGCCGCAGCACTTGGTGGTGAGGTCCTCGTCCTGAAGCGTGAGGTGGCCGCCGCGGCCGTGGCGCCACTCCAGGTCCACCTCGTGCACGGAGGGCCGCTGCGAGAAGGGCAGGTTCTTGAAGAGCGCGTCGAGGATCTTGCACTTGACCTGGCTGATGGTGTCGCAGTCGAGAACCTTGCACTGGTGCTTCTCGTCCATGTCGTCCTGCACCACGTGCAGCGTGACCGCCGAGTGGTCGATCTGCTCGCGCAGCAGCCGCTCCTCCGAGAGCGAGTAGCGCGCGTCGTGGCTGAGCGCGTCCACGGGGCCCTTCTCGATCTGGTGCTTGATGGCCTGGAACAGCAGGAACAGCGCCGAACCGGCGCAGTCCTTCAGGTAGTTGTACATGCAGAGCGCCATCCAGTTGGTCAGCATCTTCTCGACCACGCTCTCGGTGCGACGCAGCATCAGCTGCGGGTGCTTGCTGTTGACCGACTTGTCGATCAGCCGCAGCAGCAGGCTCATCAAGATATCGGTGGCGTACTCCATCTTGCCCATCAGCACCACCATCAGCAACGACGCCACGTTCACCTTGTCGCGTATGTTGAAGTCGGCCTGCGACTCTAGCGTCTCGATGAACGTCAGCACGAAGCACTTGTTGTTGATCAGCTGCTCGAACTGCAGCATCGCCGCGTCGTAGTTGGTCCTGAGCGCGTTGTTGCGGCAGCGCGGGTCGTTGAGGATCGGGTGGTCGATCACCCCCGGGAAGAACACCTGTGGCAAGCAGCGATCGGTGCGCTTCAGACCCCGAGACTCGTTCTCCGCCGGCAGCTTTTAACGACGGGTGTCGCGCGCCGCGCCGAGCTGACATTAAGACGCCACCCGCCAAGGGCTAATGGCTCGATAATCTATTATTCATCAGAGCGCGCGCGCAACGACCTCGTCACGCGGCGTTAATTTTTCCGCCGAGAGAGAATCCTTCCTCGGCTTTCATTCTATGGCACTCTTAGTCTTTTTGTACTTCCTTTCGTTAAAGCTCGTCTAAATTATGCATCCGCGCCTTGCTGTTTTTTCTTGCTCTCGGTATTGCTCGCGCTAGCGAATATGGATGAGCCTAGTGTATTAACGGCTACTTCCGCGTTTAATTGGGGGATCGACGGGAGCGTGCTGCCGCGGCGCTCGTACCAAATTGAATTATATGCTAATTTACGAGCAATTCGCTCGTGAAATTGGATTTTCTTTTGTCAGGCCGGCCTGTACCGGCAAATGGACTTCTTGCGCGATCTTTTAATTCGCCGGTTGTGAATAGACCAAATAGACCTACGTAAATCCAGTGCCGCGCGTCACGTATATACATGCGCCGATTTCTCTCTCTCTCCCTCCGCAAAAAATATTACAAGCTTGTACATATAGACGCTTTTGCAGCACCATCGTCGGATAGAAATAACATGTTCGCAGCTCTCTCTCTCTCTCTCTCTCTCTCTCTCTCTCTCTCTCTCTCTCTCTCTCTCTCTCTCTCTCTCTCTCTCTCTCTCTCTCTCTCTCTCTCTCTCTCTCTCTCTCTCTCTGTTTCATTTGCCGGAGCAAAGTACACTTTGAAAAATTCAACAGGACCTTATAAACTCGGCCAAATATTCGCATATATTGGCAACGACAGAGCTAAAGATATTTTTAATTCGCGTTGGTCAAGGAACAGGCCGGTGAAAACGCGGATGCATTCGTCGAATTTTATGCCCTTTGTTGGGAATAGAAAACTCGATTTTCTCCATTGCGCTCAAAAATTTACGAGGAATACATCAATTACGTGCATGTTTCATTGTCGCGATATTTGCTCCGGCGCACGACTGAATTTTTTATTGCTATTAAATCCGTCGTATGTATAATAGAATATAAAAAAGCGGAGAGAGACGTAGGTCGAGAAAAATCGATCTTTCGCTGGCGATATCACGCGCGCGAGCAGTTTTATATTGCAACATTCTCTGTTTTTTAATAAGAAGAAAAGGTGCTTGCGATCGGTATTCTTCCATAATAAGTTTGCATTATCGGAAAGTTTCGTCGTAAACACGGGCCCAAGCGCACTTTTTATTGCGTGTAACGCCGTGTGCCATCGCAAGGAAGCAAAAAATACGCGGCCAAGTTTATCTGGTTAATGCAATTTATATCAATACGGAAAAGTTTATTCTGATATTAGCCCGCTTCTTCTCCCGGTCCTCCCGTCCTTCCACTATGCAAACTTTAGCATAATAAGCTCTTGTTATCGCAGATTGCTCGGGCATTATTACCAACTTTCCTAGATAAATATATTTTTACGCAGTATTGTTCCGCGTGCACCGACGGTAGCCCATAGCATTTCCTAATTACTTTCTATCAACCAGCAGTAAATATTTAACGTTCAACTGCGGCCGCTCGTTACTCTATCATCATAGAGAACAAGCACAATTTGCATTGCAAGTTAAAAGTGACTAACCACGCTCGGTTAACAAAACCAGACTCGACGCGTTTGCGAATTAAACAATTATTCGTTTTACCAAACGAGATAGAGAGAGAGGGGCAGCGAGAGGGGGGGGGGGAATATGAGAGGGGAAAAGGAAATGAAGTTAACCACGGGGCTTAAAACGTTTGAATGAGCCTCAATTTCCGCGCACTCATGCGTGATTTAATCGAATTTCAATCAACTGCACGCCAACAGCAGCGTTCACCGCGGCCAAACTAAATGAAATGATCGTCGCGTCGCTCGCGAATTACCTTCATGATGTAGTTCTTGTGATCGAGGGTGGGTATGCCCGACGACACCAAATCAGCCGTCAGATCCGTCATGTCGGTCTGTAGCTCGGCAAAGGCCTGCTTGCACTCCATCCTCACGTTGCTCTCCAGGGTATCCATCTGGATCTGGATGCGCTTGTACTCGCGCTCCGCCTGCGTGCTCTTGCGCCTGTAGATTACCAGCACCAGTACGAACGTGAGTACCAGGCCGACCGTGGTGGCGGCTATACCCGCTACCGCCTCGGGCGGTATCGAGTAGGACTTGATCACGTCATACTGCAGGTAGCCGATGGGGAACCTGAGGCTGCGCCCGACCCTCACCACTACCAGCGGCAGACCACGCTCGGTGCGCGAGCCGAGTTCGTCGCTGCCGAGCGGCTGGTACTCGGGCGGCGTGCAGACCAATTGCGTGAGCGCCAGCGAGGTGACATTGCACAGCTCCGTGCCCACGGTCACGTTCACGTCGCTCTCGTCGCTTGCGTAGTTCAGACTCTCGCCCTCTATCACCAGCGTGTCGCCCTTGTAGAGCTTAATGCCGTCGGGGAAGGAGAAAAACTTGGGATCCTCCACGTAGACCAGGCGGTTCCTCGGTCCCAGGGGTTGCTTGTCCAGATCCCTCACCGAGTCGACGTTGTCCATGAGGAAGCCGATCTTGAGCATCAGACTGGAGTCCTTGCGCGCGAGCGAGCGCTTCTCGCGGTGGTGGAAGCGCGAGGCGACGCTAGGACTCGGGCACTCCATCTGCGTGGGATTGAGCACGCTGCAGACCGTGCGATTGATCGGCTCGGCGTCCTTGTCGAGGTAGACCACCATCTCGGGCCGTTGGATGGTGTCTAGGTTCGTGCCGTGGACGGTGATCATGCGGCCGCCCGACGCGAAGCTGCTCAGCGGCTTGATCTCCATGATGGTGGGGTCGTGCGTGTAGTTGTACGGATCACCGTGGAGGGTGCGGTTGGCGCCGTCGATGCTCAGCGTCAGCCGCGATATCCGCCTCATGCGGCCGGCCCGACTGCTCACACACGTCAGCCGCGTGCTGCTGGCCTGCGTGGCGTTCACCTGGCAGGGCAGCTCGTCGAGGTAGGCCGATATCGCACTGCCAATGTTTAGATACTGGCCGGTGATGGCCAGCCGTGTACCACCGCTCTGGGGGCCGACGCCGGGATAGAGGCCCGTCAGCCGGATGTCCTTGTAGCTGAAGTAGACGGCGCTGCGCGTGTAGCCGGCCACGTTACCGACGATCACGGGCGCGGCGTCCGTGGCCTCGTGACGGCTGGTACGGCAGACGATGCGCACCGAGATCTCGTAGTCGACGAGGCTGCAGGAGGCGTTACCAATGAAGATCTTGCCATCGACGTCGCTCTCGCGCAGGCCGAGGTTGCTACCCTCGATGGTGACGAGCGTGCCGCCCTCGATCGGGCCGCTGAGCGGCTTGATCATGTCGATGCGCGGCTTGGGGCACTCGGCGAAGGGTGCGCTGAGGCACGAGTGCCGGTAAACGCAGCTGTTACCGCACCAGGTGCACTCAAAATGGCGCTCGCGAGTCACACACAGCGAGCAGTCGGCGTGCTCACGGTGCGAGCCCAGCACCTCGCACTTGTACAGCACGATGGTAGTACGGTCGACGTAGTGGTTGTTGTTCCACATGACCATAACCTCGGCCTCGTACTCGCCGCTCTGCGCCTCGTACGAGTACACCGTCTTATCGCACACGATGTAGCGGCTGCGGTCGACTCGCGCGGTCACTCGCAAGTGCGCACTCTCGATCTTCACGAAGCACTGGAAGCCCGTGTGGCCGGCCAGCGGATGCGGTAGGTTCTCCACCTCGAGGCTGATCTCCTTGGGCACGTTGTTCGGCAGCATTATCCGCTTGGCGCGCTGCACAAAGCGCGGACAGTACTGCGCCCCGCGCGCCGCCAGACTCGCTTGGCCGATGCTCTGCAACAACGAGAGGGCGAGGCCCGTTCAGAAGGTTGTCGCCCCATCGGTCCAGACGCCCCGGGACGCAAGTGCGCATACTCACGTTTTCCGCCGACACAATGTCCCCCTTGCACTCAGTGGTGTTGTGCGTGCACTTGTTATCGTAGATGCACCAGCTGCAAGTCCACTGGGCCTTAACGCATTCCGAGCAAATGGTGTGTCGCGCGCAGTCAAAATAGGCGAAGTTCCTGGAGACGAAGTCCTTGTTGGTCTCACTGGACCGCACAGACAGGGGTACGAGCACGTGGTCGGCGTCCTTGAGTATGCTGGGCCGGGAGTGTATTGGCGGCGTGGGACACGACAGCCCGTAAGGGGTCATTATGGCGTCTATGGGCTCGGCGTTGCCGAACACACACTTGTACTTGGCACCGACCGGCAGTTCTGGCAGCGTGCGTATCGTCAGCTGCACCTTGGTCATCTGCTTGATAGGGATGCGATCGGGTAGCACCTGCTCGAAGTCGATGCACTGTTGACCCGTGCCCAGCGACAGCCAGCGTGGACTGCTGCGGTTGGCCTTTTGGCAGTCTCGGCGCACGGTACACCTGCATAGATCGCGATGCGGTCAGTCGGCGCACGCACAGCACAGACGGCGAATAGCCGCACGTTACTCACCGTTTCTCCAAGGAGCACCAACCGCAGTACGGATCGCCGGCGACGAGACAGCCGTTGCAGTTGGTGTAGCTGCTGCAGTGCTGCACTCTGACTTTGGACAAGTGGCCGGTGGACAGAACGTAGAGGTAGTCGCCCTGAGGGGCAATGGCAGTGTCCGGAAGTATTTTGTGGCCTCGGTCAACCACAATGCTCTCGTAGACCGAAGTCTCGAGAGCCGAGATTAGGACTTTCTTGATGGCGCCGTCCTCGGTACCCAGAAAAGCTACAGTATGGCTTTCCGTGTTGGCAAGGGCGATCGACGTGACTAGAGTATCGGGAAAGTGTAGAATTGCTTGACCGACTATCGGTGACGCGCCCGAGATTTTTAAGGCTTCCTCGCAGAAGTCTCCGATGTTGCCCGTCGACTGCGAACAAAAGCAAGCATACTCAGGTCCGAAGCAGGTAAGGCTAACACAGGTAAAGCCTTAAAAGGGGCAGGAGGGAGAGGCGCACGACGCATGCAAGCAAGAAACAGTCTCCACAGGATTAGCGTGGATGCTTGCGCTTTAACCTCTCTTTTTTCTAGCCTCTGCCTGACTCTCCCTAATCCCGTTCTGTCTTTTACCAAGAAATGCGCGCGTAAATACATAGCTGTATGGCTTCGCGAGCGGGCGGGAGATCGAAGAGTCAATCGACGAGAAAAGCGACATTTAGCACAATTATTCCGACTCGTAAACGCGAGTGTTGGATGTTTCGACACTCACGCCTGCCTGTGGACACTCGCCGTTCTGCACCTGGCCGCTGATGTAGCCCATGTTTCGGTGCTTGACGCTGCTGTTGAAGCACACGTGGATGTTCTCGTTGAACTTGAGGTCGATCTCCTGCAGGCTGTAGAGGCAGAGCGCCGACCTCGGCAGTGGCTCGTTGGTAATCCCCTTGCTGGGCGAAAATGCAGCCACGAACACGTAGGAGCCGATGCTGATGCCGAGTTGGGCGGCCAAGTCGGCGCTCGCCGGGATGATCTTGGCATCCTGCACGAGCCTGTACGACTCATTGCGCGTGTCCACGTCGCATTGCAGCGTCACCTCCGCGTAGCTGTCGTAATTGGCGTCCGTGATGCAGCTTCTCGCCAATCGCGAGACGTAGCCTGGTTCAACGGTAATTCATCGGTTACTCGAAGTCAAGGTGCGAGTGGATCTCTATAGTGGCGCTTCAAGCCACCTGCAGCGGTGAAAAATTGATGCGCAGTGATAAATCGATAACGATGCCGCGTAGCCAGCCATTAAGGGAAGCTCGACTCGGAATCAAACGTCCACTGATTATCGAGCTTTACAAGTTGGCATCAATGACACGCATTATCGAGTTATCGTCGAGTCACATTAGACGAGGGACAACGAAGAAGCAGGCCGATTGGCCCGATCGGCCTTGTCGGCCCTCGCCCATTGAAACGACGAAGTGCAGACGACTCACCCAGTTCCTCGAGCTCGGGCAGGTACGATTGCTTCTGCACGACGACGAAGTAAGCGTAGTTGCTGGCGTTGAAACCGTAGACGTACTTGACGAGGAAATGATCGCGGTCCTTGACCTCGATGAACAGCTGGCTCTGCTTGGTGAAGGTGTCCTCGGCGAGCTCGAGGGTGTCTAGTCGGCGCGAGGAAATGGCAGGCACGTAGTCCCTGTACTGGCCGTTGTTGGTGAAGGTGGTGCCGACGTAGAGCACGTTGGGCTCGTGCCAGGTGTCGTAGCGCTGAGGACCGACGAAGGCGAAGGTGGACGACTGCTCGTCGTTGGCCGCCACGCCGAACGTGAAGTTCTGCAACAGCTGCTGGATCGAGCTGAGGTTGCGCCTTTCGCAGGCGCCTTGAAACAGCGAGCCGCAGACCAGCAGGCTGCCGTCGTCGGTTGCCAGCAACAGCTTGTTCACGTTGTCGGTGAGCTGGGTGTCGACTTCCGGCGATGAGCAGCCCGTCGCGTGGCACTGCGGGTTGTCGTGGCGCGGTCCTGCAAAAATCCAACCCAGGCTCGTTATCGCCAGTCGTGCAATCGCGCGGCCTACCGGCCCGTCCGTTCGTTATCCCGCGTTCGTTGGTTACACGACTAATTTATATTCATTGGCCGATAGCAGCTGTCGATAGCACGATGACTATTTCCAGCGCCAAAGACTCGGCCCGTGACGCGCGCGAGCAAACGCCAAATTCATCGGATAGGACCAACTCGGCTCTTTTTTTGCTCCGCTTTATTTCTCTGTTGCTTGGTCCGGTAGATTTTGCGCGCGTCCTTTCGCGGAGTCTCGAACAAAGGGCTTACGGCACTCATTACAAGCTATATACACAGTCGCTGAAAATCAAGGGGCTCACAAGAGATGCATCAGCCATTCATTCCGAATGGCCTATTAATGTCAATCAAACTGTGAGCTTGATACGCGTATTTCAGAGCGCAACGAAAATCACTGACCAGTGATGACGAGCTGCAGCGGTCGGAGGTCGGCGTCGAGCTGCACGAGCCTGTTGACGGCGCCGACCAGGAGGTTGCCGCTAGCGGGCTCGAGCAGGAGGTGGTTGAAGCGCAGACTGTCCTCGCGCGTGGTGTTGTAGTCGGCGTACACCGTCAGCTGGTCGTCATCGCTGCCCGGGTACCTGGCGACGATGTGCTGCGGCGGCTCGGTCGGGGGCGGCGCCGACGAGGAGGCCTCCTCGTCGACGCCGCGCGCAACCGCGGAAACGAGCGCCAGCAGAAGGCAGAGGACAAGCAGTCGTGGCGGTGGTTGCACCCGTCTTGACGGCCGAAGGAAGTAGGTCGAGCGCAGTCCGAGAAGCTGATCCATGACTTGCTTGCAGCACCAGAGAGGCAGAGGCAGAGGCAGAGGCAGAGACAGAGCGAGGGGGCAGAGAGAGAGAGAGAGAGAGAGAGAGAGAGAGAGAGAGAGAGAGAGAGAGAGAGAGAGAGAGAGAGAGAGAGAGAGAGAGAGAGAGAGAGAGAGAGACGGACAGAGAGAGGAGGAAATCTAGCTAAGAGAAGAAGTTAGGGGCTAGTAGGCTCAGCCAGGCATCGAGCTGGGCTGCCGTGCCAGCTTCAAGTAAAGCTGGCTCGCCGCGATTTCATTCTTCACTGCTTCATCTGCAACAGAAAGCGCGGATGTTCGATTATTCAACTTGGCAATCCACGCTGGAGCTCCTCCGAGCAACGATGCCCGCGTCCGCGATGCACGACGATATTCCTTTTCCCCGAGTACCGCGATCGAGCTTGTCATTAGTATCGCTACTATTCCGTAATTTGGATGGAAGGGTGCGCGCATTGAATTATATAGACGATAATTCCAGCGTGATTAGCTGCTATCACCACAGCAGCGACACATGGACAAGCGGAGTTTCTGAATTATTGAACGCGAGAAGCTGCTATGCCCAGAGCTGATAACAAATATCAGAAAGCACTGTTTTGCGCTTTAATTGTAGTCCCTCTTTCGCTCTCGTTCTCTCGTTCTCTCTCGGTTATGACTCGAAAAAAAAAGAAAGAAATGTGGTCGCTCGTGAATATTCGAACGGCTGATAAAGAGCCTGGCCAGAGTGGGCAATGAGAAAGGCAGTGGTTTCCCAGGAAAAGATACAGCGCATAGATCGACATTGAAACGAATCAGAACTAATCGGGAGTGTGTCGGAAATAATCTGTTGGAATCAATTGAAAAAGGCGTCATCAAGCCTGATTTATGCTTTCCTCGCACTGATCGTTCGCGTCGTTACAACCACGAAATGCTCGTTTTTTTCCAAGCACACGCATACACGCGCACGACGTCCCAGCCTCCCCTTCATCAATATTGTATATGCGAAAGACAAGCGGGAAAACGTATCGCGACACCAATATAAAGTGAGTGTGCGGTGGTATAATTCCCCCGTATATCAGCGAGCATTTATTAAAATTTATATCCTTGCCGCATCCACGGTTGCGAGATAATAAGGGGAAGAGAGCCACTTATAGGGTGGTTGTGACAATGCTCGTGTTATGTGTTGGCGGGTATTTGGCGCGCAGCCGCCACCGACGCCGCCGCCACGGTGTTTGTTTCCCGTGACCGATTGATCACTATAATTAAGTCAAATTGTGTCGGTCGCGCGACCCGAGCTTTGTTGAAAGCGCCACAAGACCGCAGCCGACTGTCAGTGCATGTGCGAACTAAAAACAACACCAACTTGGAGCTTCATTACCGCACATTACCGTACGTGCAAGCAAGACTTCTTTCAATCGAGCATCCGCGTGCGCAAAAAATGACACGCCAGGAAAACTACTTGCCGCGATATACCACAAGCGATCCAAAGCCAGAGTTAACCATAGTAATGATACTTGGTTAAAGCCGCGAGAACGAAGAGCTCTGGGCACCCGTTAAATTTGACGACGCGATGTTGAAGAGAGATAAGTGTTTGTGAAACGATCGACGCTTAAATAACAATTCGCACGACTCTCGGAGAGGCTGAGGGAAGCGACCGCTTGCCAAAGTAATCAGGCTTTTGTCGCGTAATCTGCAACAATATTTTTCAAAGCTTAGCAGCACAAATTTCATGAATACAAATTGCCCGTACGTAGCAAGAGAGAGATCCGCCTGTTCTTCTCATCCTCCTCCCCCGTGCGCAAAGCTTACGCTGTGTGCAGGAAAATCCTCTCTCGCGCGCCCTACAGCCTCATAAAGTGATCGTAACGAATAAAGCTTCCACACACATTCGCAGCAAAAAAATACCGGATGAAAAACTTTTCTCTATTCATTTTCGCAAACAGACAAAAAAAGCGGAGAAGCACGGGAAAGAAAATATCAAAACGAAAGATAAACATCAATCAACTGAAATATTTTCTCGCGTAAATACCGCTACTATGCTGCAACTGCCGCTGGTGAAAAAAGCGAGGCAATTAACGAATTAAAAGAGCCGGGCCATAAACAAAAAACAGACTCTCTTGCTTGCCGACTACTATTTGCCATCCGTGCAAAAATATAGAAAGATCCTTCTCTTTCTTTCTCTCTCTCTCTCTCTCTCTCTCTCTTTCTCTCGTTCTCGTTCGTTCTTCGGCGCTCCTGTGTATCTGTGTGTAAAAATGAAGCGTGCAACAAACGCGACGGCGAGAGAGAGACCAGCGAACAAAGGGCCGTAAGAGGAGTACGCGACGAGGAAGGTGCAAGATCCTCGGGGGCCACCCAAGGAAAATCACATTTTCCTTAAACTCGAAGATAAAATAGAGAGGGAGAGGGAGTGAAATAGAGAGCGAGGGAGAGAGAGTGGATCTAATGCGCGTATTCAAGAATACACACGCTGTGAGAGAGATTGTGCGTCCGTGGCAGTCAGCGGGGGAGCCGTATACTCGATGAAAAAAGCGCAGCAAGCGAGAGAAGAACGAGCGAGCGAGCGAGTGAGCAAGTCCGAATACGAGAGTTCACAAAGGGCACGCTGCATACGTACCTCGAGGAAGCATCTTTCAGCCGCTGCTGCATCTGCATCTCACTATCGAAGCACACACTCGCACCGAACAACAACGAAACATTCACTGCGTCACTGCGATCAAGCGACCGTTTGATCGTCAACGCCGACGTCGCAATCGTCGGCTCGAAGGACGAATAGTAGTGGTAGTAGGGACGCTGACTGTGCGGAATGCGGCGAGCTGCTACACGACACCTCGTCGCCGCCGCCATTAAACTCGCACTGACGGCAGCGCTGCTCGCAGTCGCTCGCTGCTGGCGCTTCCACCACTTCTCCAGTCAGTGCACAGTGCACACACGTACACGAAGACCTCGCCTCTGTGTTTCTCTCTCTTTCTCTCTCTCCAACTCCAAAAAGCGTGCGCGCGCAAGAGGGTCGCCGCCGCTACTTTGTGTATATTCCACCACCACCCTGTAGAGAGAAGCTAGAGGAGAACCGTTTGCTTACACACACGGATGTATAGGTAGCGCTCTCTCTCTCTCTCTCTCTCTCTCTCTCTCTCTCTCTCTCTCTCTCTCTCTCTCTCTCTCTCTCTCTCTCTCTCTCTCTCTCTCTGTCGACGACGACGACACACGACAAGGGCCTGATTTATGGAGTTTTCCCATTAGCCACAGCTGCCTCTTCTTCGTTCACGTGCAAGTGTGTGAGACGCTCCCCGGCGTGCTCTTCGTTTAATTGTCGTCCGAAACGAAGATTGTTTATCTATTCCGAAGCGAGCCTTTCGACTCGGGCTGGCCCTCGAAAGAAAAAAGCTATTTGGAGAAATGACTATGTGGATCTGATAGTATTGAAGGCGCCACTGTCCCGATTAATTTGTGGAATGTTTGTACTGCGTGCAGCCCTTTTAGTCCTTTGCCGGCGATTTGTCGCGATGGCTATAGATCTCGTTGTACCGTCTCGCGCGCGCATACGCAGGCCAAAACGTCGATTGATGGCTTATTGATTTAGGGGCTTATCGAAAAGGAAAAGCTTGCAGGAGAGAGTTGTTATTTTTTTATTCGGTTTTGGAGTTGTCCCGTGCTCTGCGTAGCACAAGGTTTTGTGGCATCATAAAAACCACAGAACGTTCTTATGCGCGGGGACATTAATTTTTCCTCCTTTTATTGGTGCCATTTGTATACTTTCCATTTACCGCCTTGTCCATTTCTTTGGCGTAGTATTATCTTGGTAATGGAAGGAAAATTGGTATTCGTGCCGATTGATCAAGTGATGGCGGTTTGTACAGACGACGACGACGACGACGACGACAAGAGAGAGAGAAGCAGCCTACGTATGATTCTATCAACAGAGAAGACCACGGCGAATTATCGAAATGTTAAAACCGGGATCAAAGTGGCAGCTTGTTTACGAAAAATATCGAGCACGCACTTCATTTCGAGAGTGAGAATGTAATGCGGCGCATCCAAGCGCGTTTGACACGCCTCGTGGATGGTAGAAAAGAAAATCCCGACGCATTCGTCGCGATGGATAATTTATGTGTTATACGTCGAGCAGCCGGGTCTCCATTAGGCGCTTTTGTGTTCAGGCGTGAAAATCATTGAAGAGAGCATTTGAGAAATAGTCTCTCTATTTTTCCGGAGAAAATTCTCTCGTCCCTGTGCAGCCAACGGGATCTCTTTACACTGCGCGTGGCTGGCGCGGCGAATAACATTGTTTTAAGGTAATTCGCCTCGGTTGTTATTTCGAATAATAGAGGCGGGTGCAGCAGGGGTGAGCACTTATTCCAATTCAAATTTTTCGTGTCGAATCGTTCAGCAATGAAAATAGACGAGGAGCGCGCGCTACGACGAAAAAGGCCATATCACTGAGGTGTTGCTGCGGCGAGCGCTATACTTAATTAATTGCTCGCATCCAGCCGCGCGAGTCGGTACAGATAAGCGGACTTTGACGCACTCGACGATATCGCAGCCGCGGCAGCCAACTATATACGCGCTTGCGCTTGCGCTTGCGCGACAGAGAGGTAAATTAATTAAATGCAGCACTCGCAATTAACCCGTTCCGGCGCCGCCGACGAGTGTAATTCCTTCCACGTGCAAACGAATTTCCTTGGACGCGCTGGCCGTTTTTCAAACATGCTGCGCGCGCGCGCGTACGTGTGCATCGAGTTACTCCAACGCCATTCAGATCTGTCTCTCTGCAGGCGAGCTCGGAGGACCGATCCGTGATGAATCGTTGTTTTTGTTGCTCGGAGTTTGCGTCGTAGTTTGCAGTGTTGCCGGGCGAACGATTCAGGACGCGAAACGCGTATGCGCGGCTAATGAATTTTTCGTGGCTAGACCGAAATCGGCTAAAAATCAGATGAGGCTGGAAAGAGACCGAAGCAGCGGAATCCGAGCAGTGGCTCGCGTCCGATCGACGCTCCTGGTATAGAATCGGTACGGAATTAGGAAACGTCGAGTCGAATCGATCATGTCCGTGAAAATTTGTCAGCGTGTCGCACCGACCGATTAATCCGAAAATAAGGCTGCTTATTAATAAAATCATCGGCGCTTATTAATTGTGAATTCGATACTCCGCGCGCGACCAGTTTCCGGCAGCCGGAAGAGTCGTGGGCTGCTGGCTGGTCGGCGGTCGCACGACGTTGCTCGTCACGGACAGGGGCGCATCTCGTCGACAAGACGAAGGGGAGCAAGGCTTTTACGGACAGGTCTTCGAGGCTCGATCGCGAGACAGCCTTTGTGCCCGAGAGCCCTCGAGATTATTGTCCCCGGGCCTCGCGAGCTCGCGTGGAAAAGCCCGCGGCGCAGTGGCGCCGCGGCGTGATTGATGGTTCGCGCTCGCCTCACCCACTCGCTAATGAACTTGCCGTGTTTTCCTTGGCCCTAGATGGCTGTACGCCCGTGGCGGGGTGGATCAACTTTTTCTTCCTCCTAGCCAGCGATTGCGGGTGGCGAGCGCGATTGATTGTTGCCGCGCTGACAGCCCACTGAGCGATTGAAAGATAACCGCACTGGCAGCTCTGCCGGACTGTGGCCTCGCACCAGTGCTTTTTCCCGTCAAACTTGCAGCGATTGCAGCCCAACGGTGCCGATCGCTTATTCCAGTCGAGCGGCTCGTTGCCCGTTAGGAGCGACCAATTTGCGCGCCATAGGCGCTAGGCCGACGCCTCGAGTGCAAGCTTCCACCCACGGCCATTTCATATTTCAATGGCTGATATGTACTTTGGCGAGCCAAAGCGAAGGTCGGCCAGGAAAATGTCTGGACGCCTGCATCTGGCCACTGCCACTCGCTATTTTCAAGCTTTTCGAAGCTCCCTTTTCCTTTTTCATTATGCATGCCACGAACGCTCACTTTTTAGATTCGTGTTTCGTGTTTCAACGCATTATATTTCTACCTCCTAGCCGACGAAATATACGTGCAACTATCGGATCTACTGTACGCAGACATGAGTTTAAACTCATGTCTCTCAACTTTAAAGCCGCCCACTTCGGCTTCTTTTATATACGCCTGAATGTTTATACAATATTTTCGAGGTAGCACTTGCCATGCAAATGTCGATTGCCTAAGAGAATAGCAATTTCCGTATTTGTTTTCATGCTTAATATTACTTTATTATTGTCATCGGGAAGAGAAAAAGGAAGAAGGAGTAAAAGATTACGAGTATAAGAAAATTTCCTAGCAGTGTTTGCACGCTCTTATGCAAGTGCCCAGCGTGCGTGCCAAGATAAATGTACCTAAAAATAAATGGTAATATAAAAAAATAGCGGATAATGAACTTTACTGCTGTATATACCTTATTGCCTAACTAAATAAATATCCATTGCTCGATAGCGTTAGAAAACAAATGGCTTTTCAGACGAAATTCAACGTGTGGCTTCTGAATCTTATTTGGCAAACACAAGAGTACGTGTGCGCAGCGATCCTTTTTAGCAGTTGTGTCACGTTTGCTAGTAAGCAGACAACGAAAGTAACTCCTTTGATGCGTCTATATGCACTTGAAACACGTACATTATATTGTCCAACGTGATGAGACTATTAGATTTCGAATCAACATGAGGATGTCTCCCGAACCCCCGGCCCCACCCTCCTACACTATCTTACCTTTTTCTGGATTTCTAAAAATATGACTTTTCACTTCTAAAAACGTTTCCCTTGCTCAACAAATATCAAAACTAATTATAGTACAGAAGTAAATCAACAACTTATGATTCCTGTAAAACCAGCTAGGACTGAAAAAAGTAAACATTAAAAAATGGTATAATATAAAGCAAACAAAACGAATGTATGTTTTTTTAAATTATCGTAATTATTGTGGTAAATTTTACAACAAAAAACTTAAGCATAAAAATCGATGCGATCGACTTACCTAATCTAATTAAAACGAATAAAGAACGAAAAGAAAAAATAAGTTGCTAGCAGCGTCTCGTAAGATAATTAAAAACATCTCGGCACGTATCTAAAGTGCGGGCAAATCTAATTTCAAATGGTCCGACTCCAGAGTATTTTGTCTGCGTCTATTAGAAAATCCTATAAAAAGGACTCGCCGACTAAACAAGAAATTGAAAGCAAAATCATGAATGATGCAATGATAAAGTAACCAACTTCTATCTGGTCGGCAGGTATCCTTGGAGAAACGAAGAAGAAGCGCGAGAGCAAAATGGTAGAGGGAAAATGCAGCGTTGAAGTGTAATGAAGGAGACGTGCCAGGCATTTTCGATCATCCTCAGTTGATAATTCTCAGCAACATTCGACTCTGTTTTTTTCCACTCCTTCTCTTTATTATTTTTTCTCAAGGGTACTTTATATAAAATAATCGTCGTTACATTCGAAATAACCGCTAAGTTTCTTCTCTCTTTCCTTTCCCAATTGGACTGGTCTGTTCCTTGCCGGAATTCATTAAACGAGCACGTAGTCTTTGTCACTTCTTTTTTCTCTTTTTCTCTTCTACTTTTACTTTCTTCATCGCATATTTATCGATACTTTTCAGGTACGCACAGCTACCACTACGTTTTTCCTTTTATTTGTTTTCTTTTCATTAATGCTTTGCACTGTGTGAAAGTACGAGAAGAAAATGACGAGAAAATCAGCGACATGCATATTAAGTATGGCAAATATAAGAAAGACAAGTTAACGAAGAAATGTTTCTCAGACTCGACTAAAGAATCTTTTTTTCTTCTTTCTGTGTATATTTTTACAATTATTTCTTTCACGTATTTATGACTCTAGCATAGTTTAGTCACAATTTGTCCTTTGTAAACAGCACGTTATTTACATGTTTACCTAAGTGTCAAATATTGTAACAGTGTGTATCTCAGTGAAGGAGATCTAGGGTTTCGCTTCTTTCAAGACTCAAAAACGATTTCTAGCTATTTTTTTCATCTTTACTTTTTAAAGTAATAATATAATAAACGTCGCGGATCACTAATATAGAGCGTTTTTTCGATACTTTGAAATATATATGACAATTGATCGATGTAAGTATAACACATAATTGATGGTAGTTTTCTTTGTATCACGTTTCTTTATTATATTAAGTTATTTCGATCTTATTTCGCACTGGAAGAGTGAGTGTATTTCTTTGCCTCTCTTCGAAACCCAGATAACGCGCAGTTGATTGAAAATACACTAACATCCAAACGCGAACTTTTATTCCTTTTATTATTATTATTATTATTATTATTATTATTATTATTATTTGCTGTGACAGAGAAAAAAAATACATCGCAAAGTTACTCGCAACACGACTCAGCCATCGTAAAAAATAAAAGTATACTTTATCATCATATCGACCTCTAGGTTTTACTTTTTTTTAATTACAAACATGGGCAAGAGCCGAAGGTATTTAACATCTATGTCTACGCGAATGTTATTTTTATCCTTCCTACTCTAAACCCTTTTCTCGTATCGATCTGTTTTTATGTATTATTTTTGCTAACTCTGCGTCAGATCGCAGGAAGGTGCCGTATAAAAATTATAAAACAAAGCTTTTCTTTAAAATTTATCGCCTAGAGGAAAATGTTTTTACCGCACACTACGTCGCGTCGGTCAAAGCTAACAGATCGTCAATGTAATGTTTATTGGCCTCCTCTAACCTAGGCCGTCTTCAGATAGGAGTAGCATACTGACAAGAGTTTTAAAAATTAAAACAAACGCAATACAGAGTTTTTGAGTCTCTTGGACTGCCTTTTCTACATTTAATATTAAACATTAAAGAATTAATTTACAAACAAACTACCTTTGTTTAAGATAAAGCCGAAGCAGCCAAGAGATTGTACAATAGTTACGATTTTTTCTCCCTGATTCTAATGATACTCATGTAACTTCTCATCTGCAAGATAACTGTTGCAAAACTAAACTGTGTGTTTATGCGTGCGTGCGTGCGTGTGTGTGTGTGTGTGTGTGTGTGTGTGTGTGTGTGTGTGTGTGTGTGTGTGTGCGCGTGTGTGCGTGTGTTTGTGTATGAGCGCGCGTATGTGCTTATGAGTACAGTGTAAAAATGAATGTTATACACCTGTTACGCATAGTCGCTTTCGTTTTGTTTTTCTTTCTTATGCAAGTATGCCTGTAATAATGGGATCGCGTGTTGATGTTACTGTAACAATGCCTTTTAACAACAATGATGTTACGATATCAGCAACGGGAGTAGCGATAGCAGCAACTGTAGCAATAATATTGATAGTCGAAGAACTGGAGTGTTGATCATGGTTGAAACGGTGTTGTTTTTTTCTTTTCTTTGTCAATTAAATAACGGTGGCTCATTACTTTTTTTGGATAGTTAGCTCGTTGACAACACAGAGTTACTAACCCAATGAGGGAAAGTCATGCTCATCATCAACTTTTGGAGCATTTTGGCGCTCGCGAGGCGATCTTTGCTCAGTCTAAAAAGTAAAAGTAACCACCATTAATGAATATATGAAAAAAAACAATGGAAAAAGATTGTAAAATAATGTTTGTGAAACTCACAGAGCGAGGCTCGCCACTTTCAAATCCACCACGAGGCGGGCCACGATTGCCGAAACCACGCCCGGGAGCACGTCCACCGCGACCTACACGACCGCGCCCGCCGCCTCCGCTACGTCGCGAATCGCTGAACTGGATTTCAATGTCGAGGACATGTTTTTGGCGTCCGACACGTTGCGGATATTCAGCAGCGTCATACTCTTCATCGTCCTCATCCTCTTCGGCTTCGCCTTCCTTCTTACGCTCTAGAGCGTACATCTTTTTCCAGCGGGATGGATCTTCGCCCTCGCCAGCCTTGCGCAAGTTGTACTCCGGCTTGGGTCGGTTCTGACGCAAAGCCTTCCACTCGTCAAGGGTTAACTCACGAGCTTCTTCCTCGGCAGGTTTCTCTTCACCACTCGACTTGTCGCCACTATCACCGACCTCAGCGCTGGTTCCTCCGGTGCCTGCGCTGTCCTTGGTTTCGTTGACCGTAGTTGGCGATTCATCCAGCTTCTCGATCGCCCAATCCTGATCGGATTGGTTTAGGCTCTCTCTGTGAAATCCAACAACATGACTAATATCTTACAACAAAAATTTGCTATAAATGTAATACCATTGAAAGTCAAATTTACTGTACATATATTTAATTTGAACGGTATAAAAAAATACATAAATGATTCATTTTGTTTTATCCCATAAAATAATTAAGGAATACATCTAAAAAGCAATTTTTTGAAAATCTACAACAGAAGTACCTATGACATAACATAAATTAATATGAAATAAAAGGCTATAATAATACTGACCAAAAATTTATATTATTCTCTTGGTAATTGCATTTACGAAATCATGGATCAGTAAGTTAGCAGGAGTACTAAGTAAAAAAAAATTAAAACAAACACAAGCAAAACTCTCTTACTCGATTTCATCATTGTGTGTTCCCCAGTTATGGCTCCCAGCACCATCCTTCTTGTCAATGGGTTTTATTCCGCTGTAACCAGATCTGTTCACATTATTAACAGTTTTTGAGAAAAGAATATTTATTGCCATATTTTAATCAAGAACAGTAAAATAAGAAAAGGGTCAAAAAATGTTTGTGTTTCTATGATTGTAAAAAATAATGGAAATTAAACGCGAACAAATGTACAATGTGCGATGATTATTACTGGAATGATAGCAATCATCAGCAGCAACAGTAACATACTGTAAAACAAAACCAGTCATATGACTCTTACCTTGTTTGTTGATGCCTTTTTAATTGTAAGCAATAAGAAATACGACCAATTGTTAAATGATTGTTAATAAGATTTGTACACACTGTTCAATTAGGATATAATCTTAGACTGAAGTAAGAAACTCAAAAACTCTTGAAAGTATGAAGAAAAATGTATGACACTGATAAGACACTTACGTCTTGTCCGATCCAGATTGACGATCGAATTCACGTTTGCCACGGTTGTCAAAGCCACCGCGACCACGGAAACCGCCTCCCCTGCCACGGCCTAAGCCACGACCACGTCCACCACCGCGACGTTCGCCAAAGTCCTGATGATTGCGGAACTCACCACGAAGCTCACGGTATTCACGCGGTTCACGTCCCTCGCTGATAAACATGAACAATTATATATTTATTGATTATCCGTGCTGATAGTGTGATGGCAGTAGTTCGTTTTTGTTTGTTTTTTTTCGTTTTATCAAGGTTAGATATAATTTAAATGATATTGAGGTAGTACCTATAGTATTAAGCATTAAAATAGAAAAAATATCTTAAAAAATGAACTATTTTTACACATTAACAATTCTATTTTATTGGTTTTTTTGTCCATCACCACATCACTGATAAAATATTATCTGTGAATCAAGAACGAAATATTGTAATACTACAAAAAACATTAGAATATTGATTTTGATACCATTATTTACTATAAACATTGATTTTGTTTAACATTTGTTGAACAAAAAGAAAAATATTAATCTCATAAACAGTGAATGCATTATCAATCAGTATGAAAAACATTGACTAATGAAGAAAAGTAATAAACAGCAAGTGTAGATTGAATAAAGTACAATAAATCTATGGAGAAATAAAGAAAGAACCTTACCCAGATGGTCCTCGTCTAAAGTCATTTTGAATACGAGGTCTCTCTCCATCCTCATGATTGCGCCTATTATAATGTTCCTCTCTGGATTCAGTATTAAACTTCACATTGCGCTCTCCACCAAACTTCTGCTGAGAAGGCTTCTTGTCACCAGCTGAAAAAAGGGAAAATTTAACAACATAAACCACACATAATTAAAGAAAGAGACCTGTATATATAAAAATCTATGCTTCAAATTTGAGAATGAGAAAGTGTGTGTGTGTGTGTGTGTGTGTGTGTGTGTGTGTGTGTGTGTGTGTGTGTGTGTGTGTGCGTGCGCGCGCGCGCGCGTGTGTGAGAGAGAGAGAGAAACGGTAAATTATCCAAACTAGTAGCAACGGAAAAAATATTAAAGAACCCCGTGGACATCATTGTGTCATCAGCGTTGTCATAGTAATTTATTTTTTTTACATTGGCCCTCGCAGTATACTTGTATTCTACTTGAGTCGCTTTTATTCTATCTTCCTCTTTCCAGCGGACATGTTGTCGACGCGCGAGAGCGAGCACATGGGCGACCGCGTGTGAAATTCGCTAACCCTCTTTTACATCTAAATCTAGAAAAAAAAGAACGAATAGGAAAAAAATGTGTCTTAAAAAAATAGCAGATCGATATTCTTTGCTCAATCAATGATGGTACAGGTCGTGTATTTCTTTCTCTTATGTAGCTAAGCCGGCTTTTAAAGGCCTCGTGGGCGCATACGAGAGGGAAAGCACAAGAGCGCGCGCGCACATTTTTTTGTACCATTCTCCGTCGCAGAAATGGAAAATGTCGCTAGAAGGCCTCGAAATAGAAGGAAAAAAATCGAAATGCGACAAGGAAATGCGGAAATGAGCGTTCGAGCGAGAGATAGACGGACAAAGCAATTCACGAAGAAACTAACCTTGATCCTTTTTGGCGTCCTGATTGCGGGGTAGCTGCTGTTGATTCTCTTTGTTGATTTTAGACTGCTTGTTGGATTGCTGGGGTTGCTTGTTTAATTGCTGTTGAGAAGAAGCAGCGCTGGCAGGCTTCTCGTTGGGTTGCTTAGTCTTGTTTTCCTTCTCATTGAGTTTGTCCTTCTTCTTTTTTTCTTGTTCTTGTTCACGCAGTTTAAGGATTTCGAGAGGGTCCTGGTCTTCGTCGAGGGCCAGGCAGAACTTGTTGGTGACGGTTATGCTATAAGCGTTTTCCATGATCGCGGTGGCTTTGTGTATTTAAATCTTGAGTTGTCCCTCCTTGTTAGAGGTGAGGACTTGGATTTTCCGGCTACTCTTGAGCCCTTGTGTAACACAGACATCCAATTGAGATGATCCAATATGGCCGAGTCCGATCGACAGTGTGTGAGGAAAAGAGGCTCGAGCTTCACCAGTCACCACGAGGTCCGCGAGGCCGCACTCGCGCGATTTTCGATGCACAGGGGTGGGGCTGGCGCAGAACTGATTCGTCGAGGAGCTGCTCGTCCGCCACGACGGATGTCGATGATGCGACGTTGCCAATGCCATTTCCGCGAAAGGCGACGCACGCCGCTTTCTTAACCAAGCCAAGCCAAACGCCAAGCGGCCCAAGCGCTTGTCCAACATCGCGTGTGATGAGAGTACAATTTTCTCATTGATTTTTCGCCGAATCTGACAAAGCATTTATGATTGATTACTTGCGAGATTGTTGACTGATGTCATCGTGAAATCCAACATGATCATGTTAATTGAAGAGATGACACGTGGAACCGATAATTTGAATATAGAACACATGCAAGTAAAGGCGTTCATTCGATGAATCATTCGAGAGCGAACGCACGTTTTCGTCGACTCATGTTTTAAAGCTTTTTTTAATATCACGATGCTGCTTAATAAGACCATAAATTTACTTAAAAATCTTGAGCCTAATTAGTCGATCGAATGGGTGAGTATGTTTAATAGCTACAGGTATAAATTATATATCTAGTCGACAGTCGTTCTTCCAATAATTAACGACAATCCAAGTTCACATAGGAAAATTAAAAATAGCTTGCATATATAGGAATATTCAGATTGATGAAATCTGTCGATTGAAAACAACTTGAAAGTTTTGTAATGTCAATGCAATTACAATGATGTATTTTAAGCAATATTTTTCAGAGTATATTGTAACTGTTTTATTAATCGTCATCGTTGCAATAAATCGATAGTTTTTTAGAAAATGCTATCGATTTATTGCACAAAAATTATTTAGGGAATGCTATCATAAAAAATGTTGTTACGAAAATATCCCTAAGTTTTTTAAATAATATCATTTTCAAGAACTAGATCGAGATTAAAAGAAAAATTTCTAGAATGATATATTGGGCTGTCCTTAAAATCACTTGGATAATTATTTTCAAATTTTTGTCCAAATTTGCGTCATTCAAATCTGCCGCTTCCGAATATAGAGCGTAACGATAAATGTGGCAACGTTGCAAAAGTAAAATTTTTACCGCCTTTTTTACGGCATTTTATATTGCAGTTGTAGTAAATATATCAATTAATTTACAAAATCTTTACTCTATTTTCAATATTAGTTCGAATTTAGAGATTTTCTTAATAATTTTTTTTCTAAAATGAACAAAAATCATACGCAAACGAATTTTCATCGCACCGTTCAGACGGAAAACAGCTGGGCACACGAAAGTTGAATAAAACTAATCGAATATGCGCTACATCATTTAAGTCGGAAATTATAAGTATTATTAGAGTAAATATGAACTGGCGTCGGTTTTTATTTTATAGAATTTTGTTAGATAAAACTAATGCGTGGTACAGTTAATTAAAGTTTAGTAACGATTAAAGTTGTTGAGCATTGCTTCAATATATGAAAAATTACAGCATCTTAAATTATTATTGTTAATGAATGACATAAAAGATGGCGAAAAATGCATTATTGCGGCATATGTTTTGCATATATATATACAGCTTATACGTATTGAAATGTAATAAATATACGAAACAACATTTTAGCCAGTGATAAAATATATTATCTGCCGGGGAACGGTCGGTATATTATATTGCGCAGTGCGTATTTTAGTCAAAATTTTCGAGCGAGCGAACGAGGTTATTGGTGACAACTGAAAACGGTTGAACGACAGTCTTCCACGTCATTGACGGTGTCTCTCCGATAAAGCGCGAACCGCGGGAGATTCCATTGAGTATCATCGTTGTATTGACTCTATCCGAGCTCATATAAAATATGAAATTATTCCTAAATATATTGAGACAATGTATTTTCAACGACAGCCTCCGCACAATAGCACTCGTGTTCGCTGCCTTCGCGAGTAGTAATAATTGAAAAATTTGCAAGAGCGAACAGACAAGCCGAAGCGAAGGCAACTGACGAATAAGACACTACTCGCTATCACACTTGAATTAGACTTACCACTGGAAAGTATAAAGCCAGCCTCTATTCAATGGGCCAAAAGAAAGATAACAGTGAGATCAGTCGAGGAGAAGAAACGAGAGAAGCTCGTGAAAACTAAACGATAGAAATAATTGGAATAGGCATGAGAATTAAGCAGCCACGCGCACCCTCATATGTAACGGACTGTGTGCAGTGCGTTTCACAGGGTTAACAGAGATTGGCTTTTCACGGTCGTCGAGCTTTGGAAACGTGGTAGCATTTGCGCGCGACAAAGCATATACAGGTCCAATGAGCTTCGAGCAGCCTGCTTCTCTTCTTTTGTTGATACAACCTGTCCGCGCTCAGCTCCTTCATTTTAGGTACAAATTTTCTCTCTCGTTGTAACCAGTGCAGATATGTTATAACAGGGAACAGAACAGCTGAGGCGAGGCTTCGCAATTTATCACGGCTTTGCCGTTCGTTCGCGGATTTTAACACACACGACGAGATGACGGCCGACGGCTGTTCCGCGCGCTTTTCCATCGGCGTACCAAAATTGTCGCGCGGCCGTGTTTGCCTGCCGCACCTCGCTGCTTTTCCCACGCGCAGAATGTCAGTGGCCCACACCCACGAAAGCGCTGCGGCCAAATCGAGAATTCGGCGTTTATGGTCTGCAGTGCTCTTTAAGGTCCCGGTCCCATAGGTACGTACAGATGCGGACGGATACGGACGCGAATCGCAATTCTAGTAACATCACTAAAAATATCTAGTTCGATTATTTAGCACCAACACTAACGGTAGTGAGCAAAAGTGACTGTTGTTTAAAACTGTAGCGCCGAACGTACCACATTTAATGATCGCCTATCTAACCTTTACATTATTACAGTCTATAAGATGGCAAATGATAGAGAATTGACAGACTTTCAACTACAATTAGTGGAATTAGGCCTTAATTTTATGGAAGTACTTGAATATATGAGAAGAAGAAGAAAATAAATATAAATGATGTGTATTAATCATCCCAAAAACTTTTTTTACATTAGCATACTCATCAATAAGCAATATTCATGAAAATTTGAAAAGTAAATTGTAGACCTGAGATTTGAACATTAAATGTGGTACGTTCGGCGCTACAGTTTTAAACAACAGTCACTTTTACTCACTACCGGTAGTGTTGGTACTAAATAATCGAACTAGAAATTTTTAGTGATGTTACTAGAGTTGCGATTCGCGTCCGTATCCGTCCGCATCCGTACGTACCTATGGAACCGAGGTCTAAACGATCGATCAACTTTGCGACTGCCGTGGAGAAAGTCTCCCGGAGTGCCCCTCGCGTACTTATTACCGGTAATGGGCTCTTTCTGTCGGCACTCGTCATTTAAAGGTCCCTCGTGTGCGGCCGATTTAAATAACCGGACCTTTCATACCTGTTAGCGCTTGGGCCGACTCCCACTTCGCGCGACAGCTTGGCACGCGTCTACAGCCGATGAGAGCTGGTCAATTGGTTATATTGGCTGTGGTGAGAGCCAGCGAGAAGGCAGCGAGAGTTGCGCGACCTTGCGCCATCAAGGGCTTCTTCAGTTGCTTTGTCCGAGATGCCTGGTTTGTCAGGGGCAACAAGCCTGGAGAGAAATTTGTCCTGGTTTTCAGAGGCTGCCTGGTGGCGGCAATCAGTCAGATGCTGGTCTAATTGGCATTTTGAATGTTGGCTGTGGCCCTTTAAAGGGCGACAACGCAAGCTTTAACAAACTTGAGGAGTAGAACGATCGGCAAAAATAGTCGAGACTGTAAGTGCAGCATCGCGAACGTAATGTCGTCGGATAGCAAAATCGTGATCGCTCATCAAAAGAGAAATGTAAAAACAACGTAAACAGTTGAATGTGCGACGTGCGAGTATAATGAGAAAAGAAAGATGCATATGTACGCGAGGCGGCAGAGAGAATGGAGCGAAGACGCCGTGTGCCACCCTAGCGCGAGCTCGAGCCTCGACCAATGACGCGAGCGAGCCGTCGACGCTTGCGCACTACCGAAGGCGAAGCGGGCGAAGCGCATTTTGGCGGTTAATCAGTCGCACGCGACGAGCCAGTCCGTACGCATGCACGTTGACCTGGGGCAATGGAGCTGCACACGCCGAAGCGCAACATCGTGAGTTTACGAGAACAACCACCGGGAAGTCCGCCCATGTGCGACACCATGTTCCCGTGGAACTGGGGCGAGGAGGCGCGCAACGTGAATCTCAGCCCGGGCAGTGGCTCTAGCTCGTCGCCCGAGTATGGGCACCACCATCACCACCACCAAGCGAGCAGCGGTGGCTCGGTGGACAGGCAAAGAATTTCGACGAGAGGCGGTTCGGAAGCACACAGACGCGGCAGGCCACGAGCCGATGCCTTGACGAATCTCATGATGCAGGGTAGCACGTCGCCGTCGAGTATCAAGTGCACCTACTGCAATCGCGTGTTTCCGCGCGAGAAGAGCCTGCAAGCGCACCTGAGAACCCATACCGGTGAGTTTTTCATTCAACTAATCGCGAATACGGGCCGGCGCAAGGACCGCAACCTAACCTCTATCCGCGAGAGCCGCGCTTGGTGGTGGGCCGCCGTATTTTAACGCGCGGCTCGTCGCGCGTCACTTTCTCGCCTCGCATGCAAACTTTTCGGACAGTCTTGTTGGACCGAAGCCTGAAGCATGCGTGTTTTTCACTGGCCGAGGCATCGTCTCCCGCGCTTCGAGCACGCCGCGAGACGCGCGCAAGCGTGCACCACACACGGAAATTCCAACATGTCCGTTTGGCCTCGCGCTCTCGCTCCGTCTCTTTCTTCCTTCACAGAGCGCGATGGAGAGCCCTGTTGCTCTTTAATCCCCCTCGGAATTGTGCGCAGCGCGCTTCGTGCGTGTTCAGCTGTTGCTCGCGCGCGCGTGGCTTTTGTCTCCGCTCTCTTTCTCTCTTTCTCTCTTTCTCTCTTTCTCTCTTTCTCTCTTTCTCTGTCTCACGCGCACGCGCGTAACGGGCAGGCTCGCTACCCTCCTGTTGTCTTGTCGCTAAAAAAGTGATCATTGCTCTTTGTTGCCCTGCGCCTCGTTGCGTCATTCTCAAAACGTTACGAAATCGGAGAGCGCGCAACGGGCTTTTAACTTTCTCCGAACGCGCGTAGCGCACCGCCACCGCCGCTGCCGCTGCCGTTTGCTTGCCACCATTTGAGACTATAGCCACTCGCACCTGACGGCTCGTCGCTCATCTAATGGTATGTGATCTGCACGCCCACCGTTCTTTCGATTGTTTTATCGGTCGCCGTGTATCTCGTTGCCGTGTCGTCGAATCGGACGAAAATCAGAGCAGAGCCGTGCTCCGACAAAGAAACAAGTCGCTTTTCGTGAGCGAGCTGGAGCAACTGGCCCACGTCGCTTCTTTGTTGGGAACGCGCGGGGGGACGCGCGTTGTGCTTTTCCAGCGCGGCTCGCTGCGCCGATACGTTACTGCACACTTTGAGGGGCCAAGAGAGCGAGGCGGCGCCGCGACCGCCGCGGCAGATGACAAAGGAGGCCGTCCGCCACGCTTTTATCAATCCCTCGCCGCGCATGACTCGCCCGATGGGAAAGAGAGCCGCCAAGTGCTGACGGACCGGCGAGGCTCGCGTTTACCGCCTCTCTCAGTCGGCCTTCCGGCCGGGCTCCCGGGCTGCGCCGCGGCTCGGCCCTCCTCCCGTCCCCGCCACGTGGTCGCCGCCAGAGGCAGTCGCAGCTGCTACAGCGCGCCCGGCATGATTGCAGGCGAGAGGCCCTACCCGTGCGACTACCCCGGCTGCAGCAAGGCGTTCACGCAGTCGGGCCAGCTGAAGACGCACCAGCGGCTGCACACGGGCGAGAAGCCCTTCCTGTGCACGGAGCCGGGCTGCGAGATGCGCTTCACCCACGCCAACCGGCACTGCCCCGACCACCCGTACGCCACGCTCACGCGCTCGGACGACTTCGTGCTGAAGCCCGTCTCGGGCAACACGGAGCTGCCGCACGACGTGACGCGCTGGCTGGAGCGCTACAAGCTGGCCCGCGAGCGCGAGGAGCGCACGCCCACGAGCAAGAGCGAGCAGCGCAAGCGCAAGCAGTGGAAGAGCGGCGGCAAGTCGCGCAAGGGCCTGGTGATGGACGCGCTGGGCGAGCAGGAAAACCTGCGGCGCTACTGCAGCGAGGGCCAGGACAGTCAGGACGAGAGCCAGGACGAGGAGGCGAGCGACGCCGCGCCGCTGGCCGCCTCCTCCGAGGACGAGGAGGCCGCGGGCGGGCCGGCCCTGCCGAGCACGCCGCAGCGCAGGCCGCTCGATCGGCTGCAGCCCAAGAAGCGCTGGCTGCGCGAGGCCTGCCTCGAGCAGCAGCTGGCCAAGCCGCTGCGCTGGGACGCGCACCCGCTGGTGGCCGGCTGCCGGCGCATCTCCGACGAGCTGCACAGCTGCTCGCAGTGGAGCCTGTCCGAGGGCCTGAGCAGCGTGGCCCGGCAGGAGCCCGCGACGGCCGAGCTCCTCCTCTCCGAGCGCCTCGTCGACGGCTCGGCGCCCGACCGGCCCACGGTCCTCATGCGCGCGGTCAAGAGCCAGTCGCCGGCGGTGATCGTGCTGCAGCAGGAGGACAGCGCGCTGCCAGACCTGTCGCCGCTGCCCGAGGACAACCAGAAGTGGCTGGGCGCCCTGGCGCTCATGGAGCTCGCCAAGACGCAGGAGGAGGCCGCCAAGGCGCTCAGGCTGTCCAGGGACCAGCCCGAGTACACTCATCTCTAGACTGTGATTCGCCGTCGCCGGCGGAACTGCGCGTCGCGCGCGGAGCTGAGCCCCAGGCGCCGCGAGGCTCCTCCTCGTTGTTTCGTTTTCGTTTCGTGTACGTTGCCCTGGCGAGAACGAGCCTCCTCTCGCTGGAAACTCGCGGCAGGCACTCTGCTCCGCCCTCGCTTGTTTCTTATTCTAGTTGAGCGGCCGAGTATGCTGCGGGAGCCTCTCGTGTCTTTCTTTCCTCCCCTCGCGTTTCTCTGCTTGCCCTCCCCCGTGGATACGTGATTGGCGCCAATTCGTATATTTGCTGACCAAAAACCAACAAATTGACAAAACTAAACGGTTGTTTTTTTTGGATACGGCATTTTTCTTCGTGTTAAGCCCCAGCCTCCCCCGCTAGCAAACGAGTATGAACAAGCAAAGACACGTTGAATGATGTAGGTTGCGCGTTCGACAATCGCTTAGTATTGACGGGGTGATTTTGTACCGTTAGCGAGGTTGCGTCTCGTGTGATAATATTTAGGTAATAGCGAGTATGTTTGCATGCAAAGTTGCGTCGAAAGATTTAATCGAGTTTGTAAAGTATTTAAACAGGGAGAAAATTAGTCACTATTTATGTAAACGTGTGATATCTTTAAGTGTATGCGAGGATTTTGCTGACGACACGAAAGAGAAAAGAAATTTCAAAAAAGCTTATTTGATATCGTGAAAGCGTTGGAACCTTTGACTATCTTGCTGCGTTGCCTTATCTCTCTTATTTTTTTACGAACTGTACATAATTCTTAATTTTAATAAAAAGCCCTTGAATAAACTTTATCAATGTCTTCACCCTTGCTCCCTGATCATTTGTAAATACATATTATTTTATTTACAATTAAAACATAAAGTTTATCTTAAGAAAGGTAATTGTACTTTTTTATTTGATTCACTAGTTTACATGGATTTATCGTTTCATTGCATACAGTGAATGTTTGACATTTAATGATATTGTGTAAAAATATCTCACTTTTACTAATATATTTAATTTGTGCCTGTGAAATATGACTTTTAAGCTTGAAAAAATAAGCGGTTTTAACTCAAGTTACATAGTTTTTATTAAACATTTTCAATATCATTATGCTAAAAAATAATTACATCACATGTGCTCTTTGTACTTGAAAATAATCCTGAAAATACACATAGTTATTTACACATGCAAATAAACTCATTTTCCGTCAACAACCAAGCGAAGGAATCATATTATAAATTCTTACGAATATCTTGAAAATGTATTATTGTTTAGACTTTGTTATAAGTATTCACAATCAAAATTTAGCTCGAATATCCAATTTCGTTTATAAACAATCAATTTGGTCATTTGAAAATAAATAGAGGGTACTTGAAAATAAAATAAAATGTTACGTAAATTTAAAAACGACAATTTATTTGTGAAAATGACGGTATTTCGTTACACTCTTTTCCTTCAGCTTAAATAAAAAAGTTTTTATTTTTTTGCGTTATTAAATAAGATGAGATTTGCAGAAAAAAAAAGTAAAAAGAAAAATGAAAATTTTGCCTTTACAAGGCGCTCCAAATAATTCGACGATACCAAACTAAATAGTTGTAAAAATACATTCTTAAATAATATGTTACTGAATCTTCAATACAGATAAATATTACATCAGAATTTTTATGTAAAGAACAAATAGTCAAATGAACCAAAGAGAAAAAAAACTAATCGAGCACTGAAAGCAAATAGAAGATTGGAGGGTTCAAAGTTCCGACATGAACGTGAAGAAATCATGCGCTGTCACTATTTACAATATCGACTTATAAATAAAGGAATACAAAAAACGACAATGTGGAACTTCGCTTTGGAAGCTCAGCGCTCTTAAACCTATCTTATCCGTTAAAAATTAAAGTGTGAATTTTTTTTTCTTTTTTCGTTAAATTAGTTTTGTATCTTAAAAATTGGCCTAGTGTTGAGTCTCTTGAAGATGCAGCGTAGGCCGTGACCATCAATTGTTTCCTTCACAATCGAAATAATCGACATTCTTTAATCTGATATTCGTGAATATTTTCGCTGTAGAGCACTTACAACTAAAATAACATTAATTGTCAGTGATGGAAGCTCCAGGCAATTTTTCACGGTTTAGAGTCACGTTTGAAAAGATTTACGTTCAACGATTGTCCTTTTATGTTTCCGCGTCAATTACAATTAAGTCAGAAATATTTTATTCAGGTTCTTCGCCATCTAGAAACGAATACATTCGACATTAAATATATTTTTCTATTTAATTAAAAGCTTTAATTTAAAAATTAATTACCTAAGTGCTCTCCCTCTCGTTCAACTTCATCCTCCGCCAAAAACTCCTCTTCGTCATGCACACCTTCATTCTCATTTGTGGCATCTTCATCATCCTCATCCTCTTCTCCTTCCCCAGCATCCTCCATTATTTCTACACTATCATCACCTTCCTCTCCTTCACCTAGCTCTCCCTCACCTTCTTCATCAGCCCCATCCTCATCCACTCCATCTTCGTCTTCATCTTCTTCATCGTCAGTGTCAACTTCATCACCTTCAATACCATTCTCAATTTCCATGTCTGGTGCCAAATAATACTGCAATATATAGAACAATGATTAGGAATTGAATGAGATTTATTCTGCTTGAAGTCTCACCTGTAGAGGATTTGGCCAGAGGTCATCTTTGATCAATTCAGCTATTTCATCAGAACTTGGATCTCCATGATCCGTAAACCAGTCAAAGAATGACCTGTGCCCAAGAGGCCTTTTTCTACCTTTCATAGCAGCCTTTGCCTTTGCTCTTTTAGATAAATCAGCTCCTTCCTTCCAGTTAATGGCTGTACTTAGAGATACCGGATCTCCTAGGAAAAAATATTTGGAATTAGCTTGTCATTAAAATTGAACAAGAAAATACTGCGACCTCAAGCCATTGTATAAGTTCAAGGCTGAGAGGTCTGCTCACCAGACGAACCAAGGTGAAACTCCTTAGTAAGCACTTCATCTTTAAAATAGGGATTTTCCTCAAAATAAAAATTGATTCTATATCCAGACTTGATGTCTTCGAATTCTTCTACCTCCAATTTATTTAAATAACGCAAGGCATCTTCCTCTTCCTCTTCCAAAATATCAGCAATTTTTTTGTTGTTTACAAACTATAACGAATATTACTAAGGAAAATAAAACAACGTAAATTTTTAATGTAGTTAAAAAATGTATCGAAGTAGAGCATATTACTAAAGGATTTTATTTGTAGGTTATGAAACTCCATTCTGCACTATCAATTTTATCTGAGCAAATATCATTAACGGCGTGTCAAACTACGAAAGCCAAATTTGAACAATCAAGTCACTAAATACTAGATCATAATTAGTTCATTATAACTATACTCAAACTGAAAAATTACGTCTTGTTCAACATTTTGTCATGGGCTGTACGAGGTGAAAAAAGGTATTGTCAAGGACATCAAGCTTGGGTAGAACTTGCTTATGAAAAATAAAAATTGGTATAATTGAACATCTCTAGTGTTAATACAAATAAAAAATTCGAGGAGATTAAAGAACATTCGAATAACGCGTCAAAAAGGATGACATCAGACAATTCGCTCAGTACCGTTACGAACACTTTATCTTTTGAAAGCAACGTAACCTTGGTTGCCTCATAAGCCATACAAGTATATACGAAAAGTATTATTAGCTGTCGAACTTATTTGCGCTGAAAAAAAATCCTAGAAAATAATCGTTGATAAAGTAAAAGTCTCGATTAAAAACGAACAACGAGCATCATCGCAGGCCCGGCTGGCGCAAAGATGGCGGCATCAGAGGGGGCCGCCGGCGGCAGCGCGAACGCCGGTATAAGTATATAATCACACGCACGAGTCCACGGAGTGAAAAAATGGTAAGAGGCATGTTGGTATATGAAAGGATACAGCGGTAACCCAGAAATTAGGTATCCTCTTGATGATGTCGCTACGCTTCTGGAAATATGGTTTGCGCAGCTTGTTGTACTTCTTCTCAACCTCGAGAATCTCATCGCTGGCTTTCTCGTTCAATCCATCAATCTGATTTTGGCAGCCGTCAATTTCCTCCAGTGCTTTTTGTATCTCGATGTCGTAGTCACGATTGTCAGCGGCGCCATCACCGTCGCTCGACTCATCGAGCTTCTTAACTTTCTTCGCTGGCGAGGTCATCTTATGACCAGACACACGCTGTCAACGCGAGAGATCTCTCGATCCTTTAGCCGAGTGCCCGATACCACACTGACACAAACCGTTGCGATGCGAGTTTAGTCGAGCCTGCTTGCTGCTATTACTATTTCAACAACGCATTCACGTACACAGGTGCAAATTCTCTCTCTCTCCCCCTCCCTCTCTCTCTCTCTCTCGCTCTCTGTCTTTCTCACAACGTCAATGTATTATGTTTCGCGCTCACGCTACTTTGCCCATACTATACCGCGCCATTGTTGATGGAGCCTCGGTCGGCTCGGCGTGCGCACGGCTTTCTGGGAAGTTACTGTCCGCGAAATTCGACAGATGGCATTTGTGGCTTCTTTTTAAATCATTGAATCGAGGCGCGACAGAGGCAAGATTTTAATGTGCAGAGGTATGTGCTTATTTGCTATCAATTTTTCTTTCTTTTCTTCCCTCTGCTTGATTATAGGCAGTGACTGCTCAACTTGAAATTATAAAAGAATGGAAGCTTCGTTTTAACGATGCCGAGATTCACCACGATAAACGATACATTCATTAAAACAATATCGCGCAACAATAATAATTATCTTCGCAATTATTTTCTCAAGAATTAATCACTGTTTAGTGCGTGACGAGAACAGTGCAACACTCGGGACAGTTGACATACAGTAACTATACAGTAATTCAACCCGAGTTGCAGCTCCAATTTCTTCTCCCTCTCCGTAATCGACGAGACAAAGAGCCGATGTAGTTTGATGACGGCACGGCACTTATAGCATGCGATTTACTTTTACCGATATACTGATTTCAGGTCTTGTGATAATCGCGGCGAATAATTTTTCTCTTTTATTGGCTGACAACTACCGGAACAAATAACGAAATAATAAAAAGGAACAGCAGAAAATATAATTAAGCTATCTATTTTGAAAAATGGGTGAGTATAGTTTTATTAGTTTAAATTTAAAAAATGTGCATTATTTAACAGTGTAAAACTTACGGTCGCGATCGTAGATCAGAACTAAACAAACTTTAACATTGTTGAAAAATCAAAATAATTTTATTCTGTCCTTGCAGGGTGCACAGAAAGCAGAGAACAAGTGACATGCCCTAGGCCACTGTCTTCACTTTCTAGGCATGAGTGGCTTACATGGCGAAAATGTTTCAGAGCCTATATGGACCACAAAGGTATTCCTCATTGTCAAAGAGGGGAAAAATTTTTGAAATATATCGGTTTTTTGGGAGAAGAACTCTCCAAAAAATTCTACTTTGCATACACGGCCCATGAAACAAAATATGAAGTGCTGGATTTCAAATTTGATGTGTATTTTATTTATTCATCCAATGAAAACTTTATAAAAGCTGACAATCAGAGTTACGAAGAATACATTTCTCTGCTAAAGGTAGAAAATAAGCACAATTGTTGAAGATATGATAGACTTATCGAGAGACAATTTTATTAAAATATTTTTTTTCTATTTTTAGAATATAGCTGAAAAAATGGACAAACCAATTGATGTAACTGTGAAAGAAAAATTGCTTCAAGACTTCAAATCAAAGAACTTATTTAACAGAATAAAAAAACTAGACTTGAATTGCTGCATATCCAATTATGAGAATTTGGCAATACATGAATTGTTATTTTTATGGAAAGAATGTGACAATTTGGAATCTATCCAAGCCAACAATTGTTGTAAACGCTGCAATCTACATCATCCATTTGGGAAATGTTTTGCAAGAGGTAAAATATGCTGGAAATGTGGTGAAAGCAATCATTTTGCTAGATGTTGCTCAAATAAATTTATTAACAAATGCACCTCTTGTGGTTCGAATCATGAAATAAACAAGTGTTCAGCTTCTAACAAGCAGTGTTCAAAGTGCAAAAGACTAAATCATTTTTCATGGATGTGTAACACTGACATGGTGAAAGACTGCATTTACTTAGCAGGAACCCACAGAAGTGGATGCAATCACTGTTTTGCTGGACATAGCACCTGTGTGATATGCAGTAAGAAAGGACATTACACAAGTCATTGTTTTCATAGAAAATATAAGTAGACTGAAAGAAATGGCATTTACTTAGCTATTGGTTTCATGTAATATTTAAGTAATATAATTTTTATGTATTGATGACGTTATCCTTTAATAAAGTTAGTAAGACAGATACGTACAAAGCATTTTCAGTTCTCAACTAAAACTTAATTTTACAATCAATTCACTATCTTTCTTCGTAGTGTTACATTGCTGCTATTACCTATAATTAAATTCATTTATATTTACATTGCCATATGATGGATTTTTAAAATTTCTAATAAAGTATGAAACCTGTGTGAATAAATTGTATTTAGATTTATATGAGCTGTTTAGATGTGTTATCTGCATAAGATAATAATATACTTAAATTTGGTGTAATTTTCGATATGTAATTACTTTTGTTTTACAATTTTAAAGTAAACTGATAATAAATGAGCGATAAACGTGGAAAAATGGAGGTTTGTTCTTAAAGACATTATATATGTAAGCAACTAGGATGCTCGAACCGACGCAACGATGATGTGCTTTGGAGTAGCACTTGATGAAGCTCTTGTTCGCTATTAACAAGTGTGCTTCGCTCGAGACGTTTCATCCCATCTTTGAGGCGTAGTCGTGGCGTACGTGACACATCAGTCGGTTTTCTCTCGCACATGTTTGGCTGCAAGAAAAAGCACACGATGGTCTTTATTCGGCGATAAATGCGACCTTGGACTCTTCCGCAGGCGCCTAAAAATTTTTTTGTCGCTGTCGGTGAAGCTTAGTTACGTGGCTCGGTTCGCACGCGCGATTCCGACACATCCAGGGCTTAATTAAGCGTGTCAGGGTCACGTTCGGCTTCGTGCTCCGCTTGCAAGTCTTCCAGGCTGACTTGTATGTTTTTCCAGGCAGCGAATGAGAAGCGCGTAGGGGCAAACGGTTTCCGATGATTCCGACGTTGGATGGTTTTCTAGACGGGACTGCAGTTTAGGACGAGATACCAGTTGAGGCTTGTTAAGGCCGAGGATTGACAATGTTTCCTCGCGGTCCAATCGCGAGCGCTCGAGCAATGGTTCTCCCGTCCGTTGGCGAGTGAAAGCTAAGAAGAAAAGCAAGAGCGCCAGCTGGTTATCGGAGGGGCACACGAGCCCACGAGCACAACGCATTCTGCTGCCAGAAACCGCAGCGTTATATTTAGCCGAATCGGCCGGCGATCGGCGCGAAGGGCACGAGCGGCTCGTAATTCTGTCAGAAGCGAGAGCCGCGCCAGGCCAGACGCGCGGAGGCGCGCGCTCTTCCTCTCGGCTCGGAGGGAAGCGCTCGAGGCTTCCCAAACGCATCGCCACATGCGAGAGAGGCAGAAGAGCAGTGCGAGGCAGCGCACCACTGGGAAAGGGGAAAAGGAGCGAGGCGCACGGCGCAAACGAGCGCTCATTGGCATGAAAACGCGAGACTTCAATTGGGCTGCGTCAATTAATGCGCGCCGAGCGCTCATCTGCATTGGTCACGTGCCACTGGACCGCGAGCGCGCCGCTCGTCGGGTCCTTTGTCCGAGCGAGGCTGGCCGCCGGAGACGATCGGAGCCGAGCGGGCCGAGCGGGCCGGGCGGGCCGGGCGGGCCGGGCGGGCCGGGCGGGCGTCGAACAAAGAGCCAGCCGAAATTGAAGCGCTGGCGAGAGCAGTGGAAGGAAGGGCGCTAGACGGGGGCGCGCGACACATGCGGCTCGCGTCGCGCCGGAACAAAGCCGAGCGGAGTCGCCTGGCGTAGTCTTGGCCGGATGACGAAAGAGGATCTTTCCCCTCGCGCGGCCCGCGTGCCGCGCGTTATAGAGCCAGCCGCCGGCGGGCTCTCGCCATTGCGGAGCGCGCGCGCCGACTGAACGCTTCGGAGTGTGTAGCTTGGAGGAAGATGCCCGAACAGTTCGGGCGGCGCAGCGCGTGAGACGGGACGAGTCGGACGAACGGCTGCGCGACGAGTGACGTGGAGGCTTGCCCGGGTGGCTGTCGCCGAGGGAAGAGGTCCGGCCGAGATGCGAGCACGCTGGAGCGGGTTGCAGCCGGCGCTGCTGCCGCTGCTGCCGCTGCTGCCGCTGCTGCCACTGCTGCTTGTCCAAGGCAACTATTCCACGGTTTTGCGTAAGGCGACGGGACGATCAGCGCTGTGTCGGCCTCGCAGGAGTGACGGCCGCTCGAGACGACGCCTCCGACGAGTGCTGCAAGCTGGGCACTTGGTGGGCGAAGTGGCGGCTGGGCTGCGGGGGCGCCGACGAGGCCGGGCGGAGCGCGTGCCTGGGGCGCGCCGGGGCCTGCTGCCGCGAGGCCTACCGGTGGCAGCTCTGTCAGCGCGGACGGGCCCTCGCCAGGGCGGGACTGGACTGCGCCGAGGCGGCGGCCCAGCGGCGGGGCGCGCCCGCGGAATTGGCCCGAATGGGCCGCGACTGCTGCGAGGGATACGCCGGCGACGCGGCGAGCGGCAGAGGCAGCGGCAGCGGCAGCGGCTGGGGGCGCCGTGGGCCATCCAGGGCGCCGAGAGCGCTGCGCAGCGGGGACGGCGAGCCGGGCCAGGCCTGCCCGGGGGGCTACCGGCTAAACCCCGGCTCCAGCAGCTGCGACGGTAACTACCGGCGCTCGCTCGGCCGCTCGGCCGCGCGGCCGCGTCGCGCGGCGTCGCGCGGCCTCGCCCGAGGCACCGCGGGCAGCGGGTCGCGGGGCGCGTCGGCGGGCGCGGGGCCCGAGGTCGCGGGGCGAGCGCGGGCCGGCGCGAGGCGACGCGAGGCGGCGCGAGGCGGCGCGAGGCGGCGCGAGGCGGCGCGAGGCGGCGCGAGGCGGCGCGCGGCCGGCCGAGCCGACGGCCGCGCCACCGACCGCCGCATGCCGGATCGCGCAGACGTGGACGAGTGCGAGCTGCTGGCCGAGCCGTGCGCCCGCGGCGAGCGCTGCCGCAACACGCCCGGCGGCTACGACTGCCTGCCGGCGGGCTGCGCGCGCGGCTTCGCGCGCGCCCCCGCCGGCGGCGGCTGTGTGGACGTGGACGAGTGCGCGCGGGGCCTGCACGCCTGCCTGGCCGCCGAGCTCTGCCGCAACAGCCGCGGCTCGTACACCTGCGAGGCGGCGCGGCCGGGCCCGAGGGCCGGCGCCGGCGCCGCCGCGCTGCCCTGCCGCAGCGGCTTCCGGCTGGCGCTGGAGGGCTGCGTGGACGTGGACGAGTGCGCGGAGGGCCCGGGCTGCCGCGAGCACGAGCGCTGCGTGAACCTGCGCGGCGGCTTCGACTGCTCGCCGCTGTGCGGCCCGGGCTGGTACTTCGACGTGGGCTCGGGCGGCTGCCGGGACGTGGACGAGTGCCTGCTGGGACACCACGACTGCCGACAGGTAGCGCACCCGCGACCCCGCGAGCCCCGCGGTCATCCAGCCGACTGAGCCGACGCCTGTCCGCCAACAGCGCAGCCACTTCTGCCGCAACAGCGAGGGCTCGTACAGCTGCGAGCCGCTGCCGACCTGCGGAGCGGGCTTCCGGCGCGGCCCCGGCGGCGGCGGTTGCCTGGACGTGGACGAGTGCCAGGAGGGCCTGCACTCGTGCTCGCGAGACTCGCACCGCTATTGCGTGAACCGCGAGGGCGGCTACGAGTGCATCACGAGGCTGCCTGCCTGTCCGTCGGGCTTCCAGTACTCGCTGCTGACGCGTGACTGCGAGGACGTGGACGAGTGCCGTGCCGGCGGGGCCGCCTGCGAGCCGCGGCTGCGCGAGCGCTGCGTCAACCTGCCCGGCGGCTACCGCTGCGAGCGGCCGGCGCCGCGGCTGAGGAGACTGCGGCCCGCCTGCCCCGCCGGCAGCCGCTACGACGCGCGGCTGCGCAAGTGCGCCTGAGCACCTGGGCGCCCGACCGCCCGAGCGCCGCGCCGGGCCCACCCCTGGCGCACCTCCTGCTAACCACTTTTTATATTTCAGCTGAGAATAAATCTTTGTAATGGAACTGGCGCGTTCTTTCATTTATCAGCACAAGCCCACACACCGAGCCACGCAAGCCTCGTGCCCTCCGATCCGACTGCCGACCCCGACCCTGCCCCCGCCCGAGCCCCGAACGCCCTCCTCCCGCAGCCCGCGTGCAGTCGAGCGCTTCCGCGGGCCGCCGCGTCTCACGGGTTGCTTTGTGTTTCCGCTGCGGCGACAGACGTGGACGAGTGTGCCGAGGGCAGCCACAACTGCGGCCCGGACAAGTGCTACAACCTGCCGGGCAGATTCGAGTGCGCCAGGGCCGTGCTGCCGGTGATGAAGCGGCGGACCGGCGGTGATTGCAGCGCCGGATCCAAGTGAGGGGCCGGCCTGGCGCGCACACCGCGGCGGTCCGCTAAAGCCCGCGATTGGTCCCAGGTTCGACGCGCGCCGCGGCGGCTGCGTGGACGTGGACGAGTGCAGCGAGGTGCCGGGCATCTGCGGCAGCTACGAGGACTGCACGAACACGGCAGGCAGCTTCGAGTGCCGCTGCAAGCCGGGCTTCCGCCGCGAGCAGCTCACGCAGGCCTGCGTCGACGTGAACGAGTGCCTGCAGGACAACGACTGCCAGTCGTATCAGCGCTGCGACAACACCATCGGCAGCTACGCCTGCGTGCGCGTCCTGTCCTGCGGCACCGGCTACACGCTCAACGCGGCCACCGAGATCTGCGAGGACGACGACGAGTGCCAGATGGGCACCCACGACTGCCCGCGGGGCTGGCTCTGCGTCAACACGCAGGGCAACTTCCGCTGCCGCCGGGGGGGCGGCGGCGGGACGACCGGTCGGCCCCCCCCCGGCTGGCCCGTCAGAGCGTCCCCGCGGTACGAGGCCCGTCCGTCGGCAGTGGCTGCGTCCTCGGGCCGCGTCTCCATGCCTCGCCGTGCTTGCAGCTCACCGATCCCCTCCGACCCAACCGCCCGCCGCGGACCTGCCGCGACGGGGCCGACGACCCGGACGACCCCAACGACCCTGGCGACTACGACCAGCGCGGCGACCTCGACGCCCACGACGCCCACGACGCCCACGACGCCCACGACGCCCACGACGCCCACGACGCCCACGACGCCCACGACGCCCACGACGCCCACGACGACCACGACGACCACGACCAGCGCTGAGACCCCGACGACCTCGGTGACCTCGGCGAGCGCGGCGACCCCGACGACTCCGGCCGCCCCGGCGAGCGCGAGTACCGAGCGCGCCCTGACCGTCGGCCCGCTGCGGACGACCGGCAGGTAAGTGGGGGCGATCCGGGATCGCGCGCGTCCGGCGGAGCCCGGGCCGATCGACGAGCTCGGCGTCTGTCGCCAGGTCGCCGACGAGCTGCCCGCCGGGCTACGAGAGCGGCCCCAGCGGCCGGTGCATCGACGTGGACGAGTGCCGCGGTCAGCCGAGCGTCTGCGGCGCCTCCCGCTGCCTCAACTCTGTGGGCTCCTACAAGTAGGTCCGCCGCCATGGCAGCTCGCGCCGACGCACCGTCTCCACCGGTCTGACCTCCCGCGCGCTCTGCCGCAGGTGCGCGCCGCGGACGGCCTGCCCCGTGGGTCACCGCGCCGACCCGGCCACGGCCGAGTGCGCGGACGTGGACGAGTGCGCGCTGGGCAGCCACGAGTGCGGCCCCTACCAGCAGTGCCGGAAACGAGCGGGCGGCTACTCGTGCGTCTGCCCGCCAGGTAAGCGCGCCGCGCCGGGGCCGCGGCCCCGGGCGGCCGGCTGACACCCCTCTGCGCGCAGGCTTCGAGAGCCGCGGCAACGAGTGCGTGGACGTGGACGAGTGCCTGCGCCTTTCGCCGTGCGGCATCCACGGCCGCTGCCGCAACACCCCCGGCTCCTACCGCTGCAGCTGCGAGGCCGGCTTCGTGAGCGCGCCCGGCACCGGCGCCTGCGTCGACCTCGACGAGTGCGCCACCGGCGCAGGCCTCTGCGAGCAGCTCTGCTTCAACACCTGGGGCGGCCACCGCTGCGGCTGCGGCTACGGCTACCGGCTGCGGCCCGACAACCGCACCTGCGCCGACGTCGACGAGTGCGCCGAGTTCCGGACCGACCAGCTGTGCGTCGGCGTCTGCGAGAACACGCCCGGCAGCTACGCCTGCAAGTGCCCCGACGGCTACCAGCTGGCCGACGACGGCCGCACCTGCCAGGGTGAGTGCTCGCGCGATCCGCTCGTCGCGGCCTCGCGCTCGCGCTAACGCTTGTCTTCGCAGACGTCGACGAGTGTGCGGCCGGCGCCGCCTGTCGAGGGGCTCGCGAGCTCTGCCAGAACCTGCGCGGCGGCTACAGGTGCAACCGGATCGGCTGTCCGCCCGGCTACGTCCAGGACCCCCGCAAGCGCAAGTACCCGTCCGCGCCGCCTCGGCCGCGCCCGGCCGCCCAGCCGCCCGGCTCACGCGCCACTTGTCGTTCCAGCCGCTGCAATCGCGAGAGTCCGTTCTGCCCGGCCCACGACAGAGCCTGCTTGGAGCGCCCGGCCCACTACAGCTATAACTACATCGCCATGGTGTCCATGTTCCCGATTCCGGCCTCCGGACAGGTCGAGCTGTTCGTCATGCGCGGCTCCTACAGCGTGCCCGGCTCCACGGCCATCTTCAGCATGGCCTTCATCGCGGCGCGGGCGTCACCCGGCGTGCAGCCCGCCACCGAGGAGTGCTTCTCGCTCGACCGGCATTTCCCCGCGCAGGCGGTGCTTTCCCTAGTCAAGAGCCTGCCGGGTCCGCAGGATATCGAGATCCAGCTCTCTATGGAGGTTTACGGGCCCAGCGGCCTCTTCACCGGCAGCGCCGTCGCCAAGATCTTCATCGTCGTTTCGCAGTACGAGTTTTGAGGCCAACTCCTCTCCGCTTTGCTGCTGCTGCTGCTGCTGAGCTAACCGTCACTGCATCGTTCACTATAATTTCTCTTCTGACGACACGAATATCAATAAAATTCATAATTTGTAATGAAGCAATTGTTTTTTTAACTGTGGAATGATAGACGACTACAAGTTCCGTCAGGCTCGGCGTCGACATTTTACCAGCCAATTTATTTCGATTTTTCGACTTCCACTTATTTAGAGCTAATTTTCGTCTTTCTTTATTGGAATCGCAGGGCTTTCAAACCAAAGTTTTGCTATCACTCATTGCAAGTCTCGAGAATAGTAGTATAGAGGCAGTGGTAAGAAGCGTAGATAAAAAAACGGCTGCGTGTTGAGCGAGGCCACCAGCGGGAACTCTTTTGTATGGCTACGGTATTTTCAATAACATTGAAAAAATATGCTGTTTGTATGAGGATTACTTTGATATGGGAGATCAAAGAGCATAACTAATAAAAATACGAGACATTAACTTGAGATCCTCATGATATTTATTGAGATTCATATGGCATGTACGATCAAGAGACTTTGATAAGAGTCACTTAACAACGAGATTTGTGTTGCCACCTCTTTGCATCGGCTATCACGGACTTTTGCGTCACATTATTTCTTTTCGTAAAAAATAAAGGACGCAGCAACTTTTACTCTTTACAGCGTCACCGCTTTCTTATTTTGAGATATCTTACCTATATAGAAATAACATAACGATCGATAAGCGCATGACTTCCTAGAACTACATAAAAAGTAAATACAACGGCTTTCGACTTATTACAGCATATACACAGTACGATCGCACGAATCGTCGAAGATCACGAGCAGATGAAAAATAGTGATATATATTTTCATCTACTATTCGGTACTGTACAAACACCATATGTCTAGCACAAAAGGATGTACATTGGTATAAATCAATCGACCCTACATATGCGCTTGCCGGTTTCCTATCGTTTTCTATCTAGAAAAAACTACAATGTTTTCGCCAACGCCAACTTGTCTTACAGCTCGCTTCCGTCGTCAGTACGTTTTTTATTGCTGATAAATTTTAATATAGTTTTTAATCATTTTCCACTTAGGACATTCGCTCCACTATTCTCGACAAGACTAATACACGGATAAGTTGCATGTTTACCATCAGGTATCTACATCTCGCATAACGTCCAAATATCGGCTCTCAACTTTACACTGCTTTTGCAGATATAGCGCGATTTCGCTATTCGCTCAATCTTGATCAACGAGTCAAGTTATCCGAAATTTTAATAGTAACATAAATTGCGGATGCTGCGTGTGCCGCTAACAAATGCTTTATCTTTAATCGATTTCCAGCTTAATAGTTTTCATAAATTTCGATTTAGCAAAGAGACGTACGCTTTAAGTGATAATCCTTTAAAGATCAGGAATATAGCTCTAATGAATTTCAAAAATATAAGTTTTAATTGATCAATGGCTTCGAACTCAAAACAATTTTATGATAGTCGTAAAGAAAAAAAAATAACAACGAAATACAGTAGTGAGTTTTGACAATAATGAGTACAATTAATAATCTCGAAGTAATTATTTTAGGAATTGGCTAGTTCTATAAAATTTGCAAAAATTGTGAAGTGATAAATCAATCGAGCCAGCTCTCAATGTAAATTAGCGTCTCGCAGAGGGGAAAAGTGGATCGATCATAATGCAACGCTGGAATTGTCCAAGTACTAGATAGCACTCGACCAGAGAGATAACGTCGAAGCTCAGTGTATCACATTCATATTGACTCTTTACCGTGGCTAAAGAAAAACAACATTAAGTGCAGCCGCTAAATGACTGCTGGCAGTGCACGAATTCTGCCTCTCGTTTTTCTCTCGTCTCACATTATTGCAGAACGCTTGACTAGCATATGATATTCTCTCTGGAACTGCACTCGCAACTCTAAATACACTAAATATACACGCGTACAGCGGCGTGCCTACGATTTTTCCCTCTTTACCTTGATATATATAATTATTAATCGGCATTATCACATGATCGTTGTTTGAATTGAATTATGTTTTCGGTTAATTACTATTCGAGCACCACAACTTGAGTCCACTTTGAATTCGATAATTTGCGAAAAAACGGAAAGGAAAAAGGTATCATCTGAATGTTGTTGCAAACAGAGCGATGTGTTAATGAAGAAGAAAATAAAGGACGCGTGTGCGCTTGGGCCGAGAAACGCTTGGCTTTTACGGAATCACAGTGACACAAAAAAATGTGCTTTTGTGATTTAGATTGATTCAAGGCGCGCCGAAATCAAGATCGGCAAACTCCTTGGCCACCTTGTACACGTACAGCATTCGCTCATGAACGTCAGGATTGCAGCCGCTCTCGCACAAGTCGCTGAGCCAGTAGCTGGAGGCTCGCCGCTCGCCGTCGATATACGTCACGAGGTAGTTACCGCTCTGTTGCGACACGATGAACTTGGTGTGGTCGTCGAAGAAATTCATCTGGAGTAAGGGCACGCTGAGCTCCATCACGATTGCTTTGCTCGTGCGAATCCAGCGACGCATCTGCGGCACGTTGCTTGCGCCACTGCCTCGGACGTCTGGCGGCCGGTTGTTGCCCCGGTGGTCTAGCATCTCGCCACCTGAGGTCACAAATACCGTTCAGCATGTAGTCGTCCAAGATTCGGGAGAAATCAGCCAAGTAGCATGAGGGGCATTGTCGACCAATCGACGCGAGCAACGTTGAAGAGGAGTTGGGGCGGCGAAGTGCGCGAGGTGACTCACCCTCGGTAAGATGCTTGTCCATGTAGTCGGTGAAGTGTCGAAGCAGCCCAAGCTTCTCTTGTAAATGCTCTGGCACGTTTTTCTCACGATTGTATCGCGTGATATCCTCGCCCGAGCTGATGTACTCCACTCGTCTGCAAACCAACAAGGGCAAAATAAAAAGGAGTGAACGGAGGCACGTAACTAATTAAGAGGGCCGCGGAGAACTTGACGCATGCTAACGTGACGCAAGGCCAACGTGTTGCGCCAAGACGTGGCGCGGTTTGTTGTCGCTAGTTGTCAACAATCATCATCGCGGCAGTGATCAAAGTACGCTTGTAGCCGCGGCATCGCGATTAATAAAGTGCTTACAGACTCCATTTGAAATCGTCTTCGTGAAAAACCGTTTCGACCGCGATGCGCGGGGCCCTTGGGATCGGTTCGATCGACCTCGGACGAAGCGAGCTATTCGGGTGATCAGCTGATACCACGGCTCCGCTACGACCGCTCTCAACACGCAGCACAAAGCCGCGATCAAAAGGCTCTTTGTCAAAGCACACTCGCTCACCTTCTATCGTGAGTGTAACTCATTTTGGTACTGTCGTTGAACAGCACTCCGACCGACTTGTCGGACAGTTGAAAGGCGAGGCCGTACTTGTTGGAGAAATCGATCCACTTGGTGACGAACAGTGGCGCGGCGTTCTCCACGAGCTTAGCTCCAGGGCCGAACTTGGCGCCGCTATCGCTCGGCTGTCGATTCTGCGCCGCCAAGCAGTCCTCCAAGACTTTGGCCATCCGCTGGACGCTCGTGCCGCCAGACGGATGGTCGTGCTGCGGCTGGCCCGTCAACGCTTGCTTCTTGCGGGCCTCCAAGCACAGCACGCTGCTGATCCGCTGACGGAAGCGCGGCAGCTTTGGCAGGCGCAGACTCGCCAGCCAACTAGAAACCTTCTTTTTCTTGCTGGACTTTCGCTGGGCCGCTGCTTGCGACTCATGCTGCTGGGTCTGCTGTTCGTAGTTGCCAGCCTGCGATGTCACGTTTGTCGTAAGTTCCGCTCGTTCCGTTTGCTTGAGATCAGGCTTTAGGCCTGGTAAAGGACGACGCGGTTGGCGCTCACCTGTTGTTGCTGCTGCTGCTGCTGCTGTTGCTGCTGTTGCTGATGATGATGATGAAGATGATGATGAGCCTGCGAGAAGTTCAAGCTGGACGAAAAACTCGCGAGGGCATTTTGCCTGTCAGCGAGCGGCAGTCTCGGAACCTGATAGCAGCAGCTGTCGGGCAAGCTCGTGGGCACGTACTCCTGAGCGAGGTACGGGTGTTCCTTGACAAGCTCGAGCGAGGGTCTGAGATCAGGATTAGGCTGCAGTAGCCAGCGCACAAGGTCTTGGCCGGCGCGAGTTGCCGTCGAGTCGTCGAGCTCCTTGTAGCGCTGGTTGCATATTCGCGAGTAGGTTTCTTTGAGGGTCGGTGAGTCGAAGGGCGGCTGGCCGACCAGAAGCACGTACAGGATGCAACCTAAGGCCCACACGTCCGCTTCGTAGCTGTAGGCTTGCTTGAACAGTACTTCCGGAGCTATGAAGTTTGGCGTGCCGCAGATAGTTCTGTTGACGCACAATCCCAGTAATTAAGCTTGGTCGCGATTACAATGGGAAAGTCGACGCTTTCGCTGAACGCCGGAGCTAAACGCGACAACGGCCTCGTGAAAAAGATTGACAAGCTCGGCGCCCGTGGCAAACGGCATTGGATAACGAAGGCAGCTCGCACGATCAACAGAACTGCTTTGCTAGGCAATAGCAGGCACCGCGTATCGGCAATGGACGCTCGAGCGTACAAAGGTCCCGTTTGTACCGCCATGAGTCGGAGCATTAGGCGGTTTGTTCGCGGAGAGAGAGAGAGAGAGAGAGAGAGAGAGAGAGAGAGAGAGAGAGAGAGAGAGAGAGAGAGAGAGAGAGAGCGTGGGAGGGAGGGAGGGGGGGCAACAAATAAGTACGTTGCTTTGCACGCGGCCGGCTTCGACGTGACTTGGCCTTTGCTAAGCCTGCGGACACGCTGAGGCAACGGTGGAACGTCGGACGCGCGTCTCAATGAGCAAGTCGGCAGAGAGACCATTGCTCTGCTGCGTACGTACACTCTGCGTCGCTGTCCATCGGGATGGGTAGCCAAGCCGAAGTCACCGATTTTGACGATCATCCTGTCGGAGAGGAACATGTTGCCGGGCTTGAGGTCGCGGTGGATGACTTTCTGCGAGTGTATGTAGGCCACTCCCGTGGCCATCTGCCTCATGTAGTAACGTGCCTCGGGCTCGGTCACCTTGCCACGGTACTTGAGCACGTGCACCAGGCTCTGTAAGCAGGCAGTTTCTTTGTTCTCGTCGCTGATTGCGCTCGCTCCGTTGCGCGACCAATTCCGTAGCCCGATGGCTATTGGAGTCGAGCGCGCGTCGCGCAACGTCTTTGCTTTGGCGGCGCGCGCGACTACGCTACTTGGGCTGTGCCTCTCGCCGCGGCTTTCTCTCACAACCACTTTGGAGCTTGGCTCGAGGTCGGCAAGACTTCCTCGCGCGCGTACCGTTATTCTGAGAAAGCGCAAGAGATGGCGACGGCGGCAGCGGCATTCCAACGAGATCGAGAGGCGGAACGGCTGGATGGCGAGCTGGGTCGCATGCACCGGTGATTCCTCGAGCTGTCGGCGCTTCTGCCGCACAGTTCACGCGAATAATCAGCGCGCAATCCGCGTAGCAAGCTGAAATCGCCAATTGGTGTATCGCGGCGATGCCCTCGTCTGGCAATGTTGGCAAGCGCACTCTCGTAAGAGTCGATCCGAACAAGGCCGAGCGCCAGACAAGAGCAAGAGCGCCTGCGCGTCGCCGGCTTGTGGTGCGTAGAGCGAGGGCTCGGGGCCTTACCTTCTTCGGGCAAGCTTCCAGCAGCATGTACACGTTGAGGCTGTCCTCGAAGTAGTGATGCATCTGTACGACGTTCACGTGATTCAGCTCCTTGTGAATCATTATCTCGCGGGCGATCTGCCGATCCGGGATCAAACAAAGCAAGCCTCTATGTATACGTATATGCTAATTGTGCTTTTCGGTCGGCGAGCATTACCAGTAGAAAGCCTACCTTTTGCATGTGGATCTTCTGCATTTGATACTTGGGGATGATCTTGCAGGCGAACTGCTTGCGCGACGCGATCTCGGTTATCAGATACACTCGTGCGAATCCACCCTGCAATCAGAAAGGACGATTCTTCGAGTCATACTTCAAGCCGCTCCTCGTCGAGCCCGCAGTTGGCCCGCGCCGGCCAGGTTTCGGATCAATCAATGAACCGCGTTGTGCGTTTTGCGAGAACCGAAGAGCCAATGCAAGCGACATCCAGGAGTCGGCTGCCGAAACCGAGTGCAGATGAAAAGGCAACGGACGACGTTCGTTCAATCGGTTAAAAATAACCGGCGTATCGCGGCGGTGACGGCATCAGCGATCCGAGCGAAAGCCGCGTGTTGGTCGCGCGCGAGCGCTGCCATTGTACCAATAACCTAGGGGAGAAGAGCCGTATTTATACATTGCACGACCGAACGAACGAACGGTGTTAGGGGGAACCGCGTCTTCCGCCTACCGCGTCGCGCGAGTCGGGGGGCGGCTGAGCGTCGCGGCCAAGCTTGCGACACCGTCGCTTTCGCGTCGAGGCTGGCACGTCGAAGGTGAGCGACATCTGCTCGGCGCAAAGTTGGCCGGGAGATTATTTTGGGGCCAGCGGCGGATCGAACTTCGGATTCGCCGAGCGAAAACTGAACGTCCGACGTGGCGAGTCGACGAGCTGTCCAGCGACGAGAGGCAACGCGACAGCGCGGGCTTTGGCCAGACCCAAAGTAGCGCCGAGTGCACGTGTACAGGCGCGGCCTCAATGTCACACGCAATGTCAAGAACTCTCTTTGAAGGCGCTATTTCGAGTGGGCGCGAGCACGAGCAGCAGAACGACTCTGATCGAGAATAGACATTGTCGCGCGCGCAGAGCTCGACTGCGGCGTCGCCGCTTGGCGAGCTCACCTTGCCCAGCAAAACCCCCTTGTAGTAGGCGTTGCCCTTCTCGGCGTCGACCACGTAGCTGTTCTCGGGCTCGCCGGCCGAGCCGCTCCACGAGCACGCGGAGGTCGGTGCCGCGCTGGCCGTGCGACTCCTCACCAGCGCGTTCCTCGGCTTCTGCGCGCTCGACGTCGAGCCGGCGAGCCTCGCCGACGAGGACACGTCCACGTAGGCGGCCGAGCTCGGCGTCGAAGTCGACGACTGGCTGCCAGCGCTACTCGACTGTCGAGTCTGCAAGCAAGCCGACAGTTGATAGCTTGGAGTCGGAGGCCCGGCGGTCCGAGCGTCGACCGACCTGCTGGTGAAGGTGGGGCGGCGGCGACTGAACGAGTTGTATCTGCATCTCGGGCCTGCTGGCGGCCTCCGCCACCACGGCGCTGGCGCAAACGGGGTACCCAGGATGCGACGAGTAGGACGTCTCGGACTCGAGCGGCGCCGACGAGCCGTAGCCGATGCTGCCCGTCTCTGTGCACTCGCTTCGTCGTCGCCGCGTGCGTCTGCGACATTTCTTGCCTTGCTGCTGCTGCTGCTGCTGCTGCTGCTGCTGCTGCTGCTGCTGCTGCTGCTGCTGCTGCTGCTGCTGCTGCTGCTGCTGCTGCTGCTGCTGCTGCTGCTGCTGCTGCTGCTGGCGCTGCCGCCGCCGCCGCTGGGGAGCCTCGTCCGAGAGACGCAGCGACGACGAGCTCCGATGCTCCATTGGACATCCTGGAAAAACCGGGCTATAAGAATGAAGAACTTCGATATCCGGCGCACGGATAACGCTTGTCAATTTGGCAGGCCCTACGAGACTACTCGCAGCACGTTTCGATCGAGTATTCAGGGCTACACAATTAAAGCGATTGGTCAAAGCTAGCGCAGTCAGCCAATGGTCTTGATTGGTTTGTGTTTGTCAAGAATGTGCCGCGCAAGAGTACACCTGATTGGCTAATGGTCGTCGATTAGTTCGCGTGGAATTCATTAGCGCACACAACAGCTACAAAGCAGCCTCGCTGATTCCTGATTCGCGTTGCGCACTCGAATACGCCCGCGGATTCATTGCGCTTGCCGCACTTGCATCCACGATATCAGCTCGGTCAGCTATGCTGCGGTCACGCGCCAGCCAAATATTCGACTTGTGAATCGAGATTCGATACCACCTAATCGGATTTGATGTGCTGACAGTGTCATGCTGCGCTCAGCGTTCACAGTCGCAGTCAGCGAGTCACTCGGTATTGAATTCCAGCAGACTGCAAGTCGATGCGAACACAGTACTGCGTAGCATGTGTATGCGAGTGAGAGCAGCCAGGCGATTTGTTCCGGCGCTGCACTAACGATCACAACAATGCTTATGCTTGTCCGTGGAAGCAATGGGCGCGCGCTCCTGGGAAGCGTGCAGCGAATAAATTCCAGCGGAGCTGCTTGTAAACAGTGCGCCGCGCGATGCCTGAAAAACCATGAATACTCGCACGGATTCGCCCTTCACCTAGTCCGTGCGGTCGGCTTTGCGTTTGACTTTGCTTCCACGAATTCCACCAACGCGGTTTTCGAGCGACCGACAACAAGGAGACACTCACCTGCGACCCCCGTCGGTACAGCCACGGACATGTCGACAAGCCGACTCACTCCCTCGGCTCTGGCTCAGCGTAGAAAATCGATGCACCGGGCAGTGGTGGTAATAGTCATTTCTGGTCACGACGACGGAGAGCCGCAGAGACAGAACGAGCCGCCAGGGGATGAGGAAAAGAAGCCACAAAGTCGAGGGAAGAGGAGGCGATGCTGTGCTCTCGGGGAGAGCGTGGGAACGCGGCGCGCACCGAAAATCACGCGCGCGCACGCACACACACACACACACACGCGCGCGCGCGTGTGCAAGAATCGACTCGTCGAGTATGGCCGCGGTGAGGTCGCGCGCGCGCACCGCCAGCGCCGAGAGCTCTCTCCGTCGCTCGAAGCGCTGCTGCGGAGAAGCGACTGAGCGTTGCCGAGCGAGAGGCCCGACGAGGCAGAGCCGCGCAATCCCCTCCCCGCCGCTCTTGCGTAGCGTGCGCCGCTGGCTGTGCGACAGACCGAAGGCGAGGGTTACTTACCTCGGCCAATTTTCACAGCCTCCCCCGTGCCCCGTCCGTGCGGCGCGACTCGCGGCACTCCACAGTCAGCTGTTCCCGTGGCGAGTCGACGGACGCGAGCGAGTCGAGCCTGGTGAGCGGGACAAGCGCCTCGGGAAGTTCGAGACAAGCCGTCGAGTGCCGAGCGCCCAAACTGGTTTGCAGCGTCGCCGGGCGCACACCTGCGCGCGCCCTGCCGCTCCCGTTCGCTACCCGCTGTGGCCGCTGTGTCGCGAGCCGCGATGGTCGCTCGGGCGAGCGCGTGAGAACATTGGCTGGTTTCGTCTGCGTCGTTCAGCCCCCGCGCTTCTTATTGCTCGGTCCGGAACAAGGATCCGCGCGTCCGCTTGGCTGCTCTATTGGCGTGCAAGTGTCGGCTACATCGTGAAGCCTCGTGGGTCGGGCGGCGTGCTTCTAGCTGAATAATGCAAATGATTGCGCGCATGGCGGTTGCTAGCCCGATTGACTGCACGCTCGCTGATGAAAGCTTTGGAAATGCGCCTTTCTACTCACGCATCGAGAATTGGTCGCAAGATACGCCAGAAGCGGTCTATTGACGCAGACAACAATGAGGCCTTCTCTTTGAGCGGACACTTGACTGAGAGGAGAGAGATCGCCAAGGCTTTTGCTTGGCTGTTGGAACTGATTCAAACGTCGATTTCGCGCTGATATACGTATACACCGGAGGCACATTGCGTAGAGCCGCTGTGAGCCGAATTAGCAGACCTCGCGGAGATTTTATTTATGTTGCTAGTTTTGTCGTAGCCATTCATAGCCATCCAAGCCAAATAAAGTTTTTCTAGGAAGCGACAAGTGGCTTGGAAAATCTTTGTCGGTTGCAAGGTTGCGCTGATAAAGGCCAATGACGCGCGATTCAAGCGAATGTCAAATCCCGCCTTTCCATCCGTCAGACGCCTTCGATTGACAACAACTGGACATTTGGCAACATTTGAGAAGAACCAGAGAAACTGCGGAAACGATCGATTGTCGCATCGGCGACCTTGTCCATGGCGTGCAGACACATGCAGCTGAGCCGGCTGCTTGCGACTTCTTAAGTTGGAGATGGAGGACAGTGGATGCGGGCGTTGCCCGAGCAAAACTGGTGATTGCCCGGCAAGCTGGCTCTTGTCCTTGCCGAGCTTGATTAACCGATCGAGTACGGCATCGCTCCTATTATTCGGTAAGTCTTGAGAGACATTCGGTGAGCTGGTGCTTTGAATTCTCACGAGGAGAGATTGAAAAGGCCTCTACAGTGGAGCCTCGCAGATGAGCTACGTGATCGGCGCCATCGGCGAATGGCGTCGAGCTGAGTAAGTTTCTGTATAAGCAAACTCTTTCGTTGTCCAATGCTATATTAACAACCAATAAAGAAATGAAGCAATCGACCTGTACAAAGAATCGGAAGCTAAAGCGAGCCGTGCGCAGCGGAATAAAGAAAAGGCCCGAAAAAAGGATGTGAAAAAAATACGCACGTGCAGCACTTTCTTTCTGATGAGAGCCAGTCGTCGTCGTCGTCGTCGTCGTCGTCCTCGTAAAGCTATGCGTAACATCAGGAAATATCACGGGAATCCTTAGTAAACTGGCTGATGTACAGTGCCAAGGAGAGACAGGATATCCCGCTGGCGTGCAGGTTTTCTCTTGGCGCTCTCTCTCTCTATCTCTCCGCAGTCATCGAGGCCATTTCTCCCTGTAATTTTATCGTGAAGCTGTGCTCTCGGGCGTGCGATAATCCAATTGATCGGTCCTTTTTCTCGCGATGACGCTCCGACTGATTGGCGATCGATCGAATGATTTCTCTATTACTTTGCTTCCTTAAAGAGGAGAACTTGAAACTTGACTTGTTGCAGTGACACTTAAACGAGTGAAAATAGTGGTGTTCCGTAACGGCAGACTGCACGAATGCGGCGCTACCGAGCTCAGCCGACGAGTAGCTGTGTAGGCAAAGCTGGCGAACACCATGGCGACGCTCGTTTGTATAATCGCGAGACTGCGAAGTCTCGCTGCCTCGGGCCTGTACTCCGATCGACCAATTAGCCCCGTAACTAGTTCAACTGACTTTGAAGCTCGACGCCCGAGCTACTCAAAGCAAACGCTTCTCAAGTGACTTAGCATTTGCAGGCGTTCCGCGATACGGTGGCCGCGGCAGCTCCCACGAAGCGAAAAATGCATCGGCAACGAAAGAGGCATTCCGTGAGCTTTCACACGCTCCGAGTCGTAAAACCGGCTGCGCCACGCGCGAGTAAACCACCTTTTCTCTATGCACGTATATGCAGAAACGCGCGCTCGTATGGCTGGCCCCGTTATCGTACAGATTAGCTGACCGTTAGCGGGCGAGGCGCGCGTAGCCTCGCGATAGCAGCATTTTCGAGAGACAGCCTTGATGTTGCCTGTGCTGCTGCATTCTTCCAAAGTACCACGCTCTCTTGGTTTTGCGCCTCGAAGAAAATGAATGGTGCGCACACGCTAAGCGCTTGTCCCTCGAGCAACGAAAGAAAGAAGAAAGAAGAAGAAACTAGTCTGGTCGAGATTGAAAGCCTCGGCTTCAGGCACTAGGAGAGGGAGAACGCGCGTCCCAAAAAACATCTATTAAATATGTACCTGCGCGCGTCTATTATTCCCTACTTTGTGTTCGCCTGCCCGGCCGTTCACTGCTCCTTTCTTCCGATCCCGTGCTGCCTCGCTCGCACTTCCCTTTTATTCTCTCTTTACGCAGGCAGAGGGCCCTTGGTCGCTTCTTTCTTCTTGTTCCTCCTTCTCCTCTCCTCCGCCTCCTCCTTCTCCTTCTCTTGCTCTCCCGCTTTCTCTCCCGCTTTCTCTCCCTCTTTCTCGGCTTCGACGTGACTGTACCGTGGCACTAGCTCTCCTTTGCAATTGCCGCCCCACTTGACTTTTGGCCATGCTTGCGCACACGTTACAAGGCATACATGCTGCATTTTCAGTTGTTTTACCTGCACAAATCGAACAAGTCAATGTTGTATTGCCGAGATGATCATCAAATTGGAATGAACATTAGCGCTACAACCAATTGTGAAGCAAACGGCATGATGTTATTTTAGCTCATTTATACATTTATAGTTTGTCGCGGAAGCGACGGTTAAGAAAGGAAGTCGAGCAAACTGTCGCGTTTCAGTCTAACGACGTCTGGCCGAGAATGGCTCTCGAATTCGGGTTTGAACCATTGAATGGCTACGACCATAAGCTGCTAATGCATCGGAGTCACTTTTCAGCTTCCAAGGGTTCACTGGTTCAAGAGAAAATTGCGAGCGGCGCAGTCGAGCAACTTGCGTCTTTGCAGCTGCAGCAAAATATTGTAGTGCAAGGCGATCGTTTAAATAAATAAACTTTAGCACGGAAAATTAAAGTGATCGGTATTTACAACCAAGCGCTTTCGTGCAACGGTTGCTATGGTTCCTTATAAATGTGTCAAAAAAAGTATGTCAATCAAATTAGCGTCACGGTAAACCCATGTGTTTGAATTTAAACGTTTAATATGACGTCACCCATAAGAAATACATTGTCCCCAATTTTAAACACTTCTAAACGTTTAAATTCAGCGACAATGTATTTCTTATGGGTGACATCACAATTGCACACTTAAAACGTTTAATTTTAAACACAGAATTTTAAGGTTTTGCCGTGCGTTATTTATTACATATATTTGTCGTTTATTTCTTTTTCAATCTTCTTGCCTAATTGATATGTGTGCAGGATCAAATTTCCAGAGCGGGTCTTGCGTGGTCCTTCTGGTTGTCGCGGCGCTCTGTAACGACACAGCACAGCACGTCCTCCATAGCACGAACAGGATACTCTTTACGATATACACACTCAACTTTTCTTTCAATTCTATTGATCAGTTGATTGATTCTATTGATTGACGTCTGTCGATCACAGGCCCCATTATAATAGTCGCATGCATAATTTATTTCCTCTTTTGTCTGTAAATATAGTTTATGCTATTATTACATTTAAACTTTTGAAACCTTAGTGTGATCGAGATATCTTACGAATTTAAACAAATTAATTATAGTTAGAAATGATATTAATGCATGCAGAAAAAAGGGTGTTTTGTGAATTACATTTGTTACTGGCGAAAATTTATTATATAAATGTACGGTACAATACTAATTGACAAACATTTTTAATATGGTCATCCAATATAGCTAGAACCATGAAAAATTGGTAGATTTCCCACCGCTGTTTTTTCGAATGAACACTTTTCCATAATGATATTTTTCTTTTGTTGGAACACAAAAATCGATGGCAAGGCTGTTTGTTATTATTTTCATGACCTCATGTTCACTCACACATGTGTCAGTAGTAAATTGCAAAATTTTGATGTACATGTAGTAACTGAAGGCCTTCAGGCAGCGTATAATAGCGACGATCGGAAGATCAAGAAAGGAGTCCAATTACTATGCTCTTTAGCTTTTATACCCAGATACACGCAGATAAAGTTGTTGAATATTTTCAAATAATTCGCGACAAAATAACTACCTGGTGAGTTGGGTTGGGCCCCCTATCCCCCTGTACTTCGAGATTAACTACGTGCGCTGGCTGAGTATTGGAAGACGAAATGAAGAACTGAGATTCACCAATCGTTTTCCAAAATATGCTCCACGTTTGTGCAACCAATTTGATTCAGTCCTAAACAACTTGTACAGCACGCACCAACAACATATCTGAAGAATGGCATAATAGGTTTCAGTTAGTGGTGGGGAAGCACAACCCAAGCTTGTACCTGTCTTTGGAACGGCAAAAATTAGAAGAAGCTGATACGGAAAACATGTTACGTCAGCTGCAGCTGGGCCAGCGAATAAGAAAAGGTGTCGATAGAAAAAGAAGGCAATTTGCGAAGATCAACTTCTAGCTGTTGTGCAAAGATATTATAAATGATTTAAAAATTAAACAACACACACACACACACACACACACACACACACACACACACACACACATACGTACATATATACTGCACCCGGCTTAAGCAAGCTAGACTTGCTATCAGAAGCGGGTGTCGGAACACTGCTGCAACTGCTGCAAGTTCGACGGCGTCCTCCCTACTGGCTTCCGTGAGGACTGTCGCTCCTTATATATCTTCGCCGGTGTGGTGTAATCTCCTTCTCGGGCCGCTTAGGGAGCTCAGGGCAGCTTAGGAGAAGCGGCTTAAATTAATTACACTATTAATTCCCTCCTTCGCCCTAAGCGGATTGTTTGAATTATTTGTATTGTATGATTGTTTTTTTATATGTATATACACACACACACACATACACTCACACAATTTATATATATATATATATATATATATATATATATATATATATACGTATATATATGTCTGCATATATATATGTATATATATATGTGTATATGTATACATGGCACATTCCAGACTATGACGATCAGCTTTTCAGGGGTATGTTTCGGATTTTCTTGAAACTTGGTCTACATATTGCTTATATGGTACTGTATTCAAGTATGGATTATTAAATCATTATAATAATTATATCAAGAGTTATAAACAATTGAAAATTTTTGACGAAAAGTCGGTAAGTCGGTAAGTTTGATAGCAGCGCCGATGCGCGGCCGACAAGCGTCGTAAGGCCTGTCAGCGTCCTCTATTATCGTTCACTGTATCGCATCTAATGATCGCTCGATGAATTTTAAAACGGAATCTTAAAGAAAAAATGTCAAGGAATGCAATAAAAAAATTATTTTTAAAATGAAAATAACACTTTTTGAGATATGGATAATTGTTTAAAAAAAATGTTAATAACTTTTGGAAAAATTTATATGAAAGTATTGTTCACTCAATATTTTCAAAGTACACTCTTTTATGCGTAATTTGAAAAAAATTCGTTTCAATAACTTAAATGATTGCGGAGATATAAATTTTTGAAAATTTTTCGTCAAAAATTTTCAATTGTTTATAACTTTTGATATAATTATTATAATGATCTAATAATCCATACTTAAATACACTACCATATAAACAATACGTAGACCAAGTTTCAAGAAAATCTGAAACCTACCCCTGAAAAGTTGATCGTCATAGTCTAGAATGTGCCATATACATATAGTCAACGCATACATACAGTGCTGCTCTCTTCCTTTCCCTCTCTCTCACGCGATCATCGTCATCGGACAGCTGACGAGATAACCATTTCAAGTTATCGTTAACAATTTTATGCGATTATGCGTATTCTGCTTCTCTCGCGGGAGCTGCCCCTACATTTAATCGCTCCTGATGATAAATAGGTAAATATTCCATTTTACGAGAGGCTAAAACATTCTGCTCACATCTCTGTATTGCATACCTGTGATGGTGCGCATACGTAACGGATTTTGTGTTGCAGATTAGAAGTGTCAGTCAATATCGGTCAGTTGGTCGGCTGCGATAACTTAGAAAGAGAGAAAGCGTGAGTCTGCCGTTTTATTTTGTCATTGTTGTCTCTTGCGAAGAGAATGCTCGATGCTTGCACGTTCTCCAATACCACGACGATGAGCTGCTACTATGATATTGTTAATGTTAAACTGCTGATCGCTCTAGAGAGACGCTAGGTGAGTGTTTATTGATGAGTACTAAAGTGCTGTTATACCGTTACCTATGCTTTGGAGGCCCCTTGATTTTTTCTCTCTTTTTAATCATTGTTGCTGTTGCTGCTATTGTTGTTTGACTGCAACAAATGATTAAAGAAGTCTTAACAATCGAGTCTGTTTTTGGTGGAGTAGATCAGTTTTATAACATCTGCTACCATTTTCAAAAGTATTTTTCAATTTATATGAGTATTCATATAAAACTGCTGTTTTTAGCAGATTATCTAGGCTACTCGAATGATAATGATAAGCATGTGTATGCTACATTGGCAATGTGGTTTTGTCTAATTTATCTAGTCAATGACAATTATAGCTTTTTTCAGTCTTCCACTCTTTCAATCGTTCCTACAAACCTTTAATTGCTACAGTAGGGAGTGAGGTTATTGATTGAACTATATAATTTATAAATAGTAACACAGGACAGCAACAGGAAACTCCACCAGACATTATTGACTGTATTTTTAAACTAGTCAATAGAACAGGATTGAACAATCTTAACTTATGCATATAATGTTCTCCTTGACAGGCACACGATTCTCCAAGGCATTGCTTAGCAAAACATGAAGACGTTACATTGCTGCAGCAGCGCAAAAGGGACGAAGACGACGACCACGATCAAAATCGTAGTAGTACAAGATGAATTCGCTGTTGCGCACGGTGAACTCGATGTCGAACCGGCGACACATGCTGGTACGCGAATCTCTGCAGCAGCAGCTCAACACTGTGGTCATCGAGATCCAAGGTGCTCAAAGTTTCCTCGACAATACTCCTGTGGAGATCTGCGACGAGGCACTCGCGTTGTGTTCCGCCCTCGAAGCCATATTTCTTCACGGGCTGAAAGATAGCCTGTTGAATAGAGTGACGGAGGCGTTGAGTGGCCCAGATTACGATGCTATGCCACAACCAAGTTTCTGGGGTCCTTTGCTCGTGTTCTCGCATAGGGGCATTATCGATCAGATACAGTCGTTGAGTCAGGTAGGTTGCACGACATGATAGTACGAAAAACGTTTGGAACCATTTTTTCCATCCAATTGTTGATTTATATTTAGATAACAACGGAAGTTGGTTACTGTCGCGCTTGGATTCGCCTAGCTCTGAACGAAGGCCTCTTATCGAGCTACTTCGAGGCGATTCGTCGTGAAAATTCTGCCCTAAAACCTTACTACAACAAAGCTGCATTCATTCGAGATCTCGATCTGGTTGAAGTAGCTCAACGCCTCCTCGAGAATGTCGATAGCATCAATTTCAACCTCGCGTGTAACTCCAGCCTTCTGAATTTCTGGTCGAGCACTCCTTTGCTCATGGCAGCAATATGGTCGCCACCTATGAAATCCGCTCCGGTATTCAGCGCCGTAGATATTGCCAAGACGATTAATAGTAACGACTTGGAGAGCAGTAACTTCGAAGAGATCGAGACGGCTAGTTCGATCGGCAGCCTCAGCTCGTACAATTCGTCGCAGAATAATCTCAGCGGATTGTCTGAGGACGAGGCGTTGAGAATCATCTTGGCAAAAAAGACGCATCGCGTCGAGGTAGGCACACAGAGTGAACTGACATCGCTCGCTTCTCCGACACTCAGGAGAAAGATGAGACAGAATGGACAGGATCTAGCTATTAAAACGGCTGATTCGCCTGGCGAAGGTACATCCTCCAAGCCCAAAGATTCCGAAGCAAAGGTCAAAGAAGCAAAGAGTGAGGAAGCCCAGTCGACAACAGAAATCGAGGAATTACAACCCACGCTTTTGGACGAAAGTATATTAAAGCTCGACGTGATGGTAGGTAACTCGCTAATTGGTAAATTAGGGTGGTCGACCTCTTACGAAGATTGCGAGTCGTCGATGACCACATCTATGGTATCGCGAACTTCCGAGGGACCGACGACCCCCGGAGAGGGACCAACGTATGACGCTTTGCTTAAGAGTTATCGACCCACTGAGTACAAGTCGCCGAATCTTGAGGAACTTTTAGAAAAATACCCGGTCTACGAGCCTGCGACGCCGGTCAACGTCAACACGTCGGAACCCCACGAGAGACGTAGCTTCAATGAGCAGCTCGGACGACTAGCTCGGGAGAAAGGTCTGGACTTGCAGAACTACAATTGCCTCGACTGCGGACAACACATCGGCCTAGATTTCGCCAAGGCCAATGTATGTAACTTCACCGGGGATTACTTCTGTTGTAACTGCATGGCTAGTGAAGAATATCTGATTCCTGCCAAAGTCGTGCACAACTGGGATCTTAAGAAATATCCTGTGTGCTCGAAAGCGGCTACATATCTCATCGATTGTCCCACTTTGCTCGATCTGAAGATTATCAACCCGAAAATATACACTGCTGTCGACACGATGGCGCAATTGCAAACACTGAGAGTGCAGTTGAATTTATTAAGGGCCTATTTGTTTACCTGTAGAGAGCCGATTATCGAGTCTTTCCAAAAGAAACTCGCGCCGAAGGATTATATGTACGAACATATTCATCAGTATTCTGTGTCGGATCTTCCGGATATTCCAAATGGCATGTTGGCGCAGCAGTTGCAGAAAATCGTGGAATTCGCGAGGAATCACGTTATTAGCTGCTGGCTTTGCAGCCAGAAGGGTTTTATATGCGAGGTGTGCAATAATACGAAGATCATTTATCCATTTGATACGGAGAATACCTACAGGGTAAGTAGTAGTTTTGAACATTGAAAGAGATTTTTGATATTGATATTTTAGTTTGATTTTGTTTACAGTGTGGATCCTGTAGTGCAGTTTCCCATTCAGATTGTATGAACGCGAGCAAACCTTGTCCAAAATGTGAACGCAGACGCAAAAGAGTTGATCTTCCATTGCTGAATATGGGCAATTCGGATATTTTAAATGAAAATTTGTCATCGGCGTTATCTTCAACGTGAAGATAAATGTTTACTCCGTTCTCATACAAATCAGTATTTCATCGAGTGCGCGGATAATATCTGTACAGCTGTATAAAGATCTTACATTTACAATTTTAAATAAAAAACGACTCTTTTCCATCGGTAAATAATAAACAATTTGGGGCTAGATACAATATTCGCCTCCCTCACGCTCATCAACTGCATTAAAAGATTCACTTCTTTCAAATGCATTAAAATCAACGTAACTAATTTTATTGTATTTCAAATCTAACAATAACATATTATCTGTGACGTAACTAAGCGAACAAATGATAATGAGAAGAAAAAAAGAGTGACATGTTTGTCCATAAAGGTGAATGAATTGTTTGTTTTATCGATTAATTTTGTATAATAATTATATTTATTTTAATTTTATGTACAAAAATAATAAAATAGACACGACTGCTCATGAAAATATAAATGATCCTCACTCCGAATTACTTTTCTTATTATACTGAATGTTCACAATTAATACTGTAGCTCTTTATGAGGCTAGAGAGCGCTAATTGAGTCGAATTTTTGACTTAGGCTGTTTTAATACATCTTTCTTTTTTTTTTTTAATTTGTATTCAATTAAATTTTTTTTATAATAGAAAGTCATCATTTTGTTTGATATATTCTTGGTCATTTAGAAAGATCCAGGTACATAATCCACATATTCAACGGTAAGATAAAAATCTTTTACATCTACAATTATGCCAAGTGTGATGTCTAAATGCCTTCATTTTCAATGAATACATGGATATTGTTTTATTTAATCTCATATAAAACTTCATTTAATTTACAATTCAAAGTACATATATGTATAAAAATAATTATAAAAAAACTACACAAGTTTATACAATATCATTACTTTTGTGTACTAAGTTTCTCAACAAGATAAGTGGCAAATCGTCAGATAAATGTATATTTTTTATACTAATTTAAGATTCTTTCTAGGTAATTGTTGAATATTATTTGTACTTTGTAATTTGTTCAACAAGAAAATTTCTATGTGCATGCAGTCACAAACAAATCCTTGTTTATATTTGTAGCTTTTCCTCGATAATTTTAATTAGTTTTAAAACAGATTCACTTTAATTGAAATAAATAGTTTCAATTACAAGGCATTAAAATTATTTGTTCCTAACTTTCAATAAATACTCTAATAAAAATAAGTGCGCCTAATAATACAAAATAAACTTTTTATATTATCTTACGAAACTTTAAGAGACGATTTAGTTTTTGCAAAATTATTCAGTCAAATTTCATTATAAAAATTAAATCACAAAAAAATAGTCTTGAATGTAACATTAATTTCAACACAATGAAGATACTGCGATTTTTCTATGAATACAGAAATTCGTCAAACTATAAAGAGAACAAGAATTAATTGTAAATTGGCAATTTCTGTCTGTTAATAATAATTCTAAACTCAAAGAATATAAATGTATAATTAATTTGATAGGTCAATCCCAAATAGTACTTTAAAATTAATATTACAGTCAGAACAGTTCTTCAATCAATATCATAAAAATAGAAATTCTTTAAATTTTAAGATAAACCTTGTTTCTCATTTTTCATTGATTGTGCAAAGTCTTAGGAAAATAAGCAGATGGCAGAAGTGGTTTGTCATATGCCCTTCTCAGACCACCTTGCAAAGTAGTATTTGTGCCCTTAAGTTTATTACCATTGATCATAGGAGCTGGCATATTGTTGTTCTCAATAATTGCTGGCACTGAATTAGCATTATTTATTATCTTACTCTGCGAATTGGCACGTTCCAGGGGTGTACTTGTGCTAGAGATCTGTCCAGTTTTGAAATTGACTCCAGTCGAATTGTCAGAGTTGCCAACACCTGTTGATCTTGCAGTACTCCTAGCAGTGAGATTGATGTTGGGATTCTGAGCAATTGAATTCTTCAGTGGTAGACCAGTCAATAAAATGGATTGATTGGATGTACTTGTTGCTGGAGTTCGCGTTTCAAACCTGTTTGATATAAACTTACTGGTTCTTGGTAATGTTAGCTGTATTGGCTGTGACACAGCCATCGGAGCAGTTGTTGTGGCACTTGTAAGCGGTGATTGCTCTACTAACCGTCTGTTAAGCCAACTTATAACATTATCATTGTTCTTGATTGTTTTTTCCTTCTCTTCTAACTGGTTCTTTAAGACTTTGATTTCTTCTTTGAGATTATCAAGCTGAGCTTTAGCCTCACAATTCTCTTTGGTGTACGATTCCATTTTGTTTTCCAATTGGCCAAATTCTTTCTGTTTGTTGTCTAGAAGTCTTTCTTGTTCAATAGCTATGCTTGTTCTTAGTTTTAATTTGGATTTAGTTGAAGTTAATTCATTCTGTAATTTACCTAGAATTTCATTTGCCTTCACAAGCTCATCACTGAGATTCTTAAGAGATGCCTGTTTCCTTTGTAACTGTGAATCCCTTTCTGCTAGTAGTTCTTCCAGTCTTTGTTTACTGTCCTTTGAATTCTTAATCATTTCGGTATGTTTACTTATTAATATTGTCTTATCTTTTAATTCCTGTTCCAGTACTGCTACTTTTGTGGAAAGAATATTCACTGACTTTTCCTTCTCCTGAAAATCAGCTTCAAGTTTAGAATTGTGCTTCTTTATTGCAGCATAGTCCCTTTGCATTATATTCAGTTCTTTTTCAACTTCTTGAAGTCTCTTCAATTGTTCTTTGTTCGTGGCTTCAATGAGTGACTGTTTCTCTTTATAACTAATATTCTGTGCCTTAAGCTCAGCTATTTCAGTATGCAATTGCTTTATTGTCTCGCTATGTCTGTATTCCAACTCCATTTTTTGCTTTTCAGTTTGGTTCTGCCACTCCAGTCTTGCTTGAGCCAGTCTATCTTTCTCTAAGGCAACTTGTTGAGATAAATTCATTTGTAATTGGGTCCTTTCGGTAATATAATTTTGTTCATACTGCTCTGATTCTTTGCACTTTGCTTCTAATTTATTTGCCAATTCAGCCAATCTTGCTTCAAGATTGGTCATGTCCCTTTCTTTTTGTACAATAGTTTCCTTCAAGCTCTTTATCTTCATAGCCATATGAGTTTTCAAATCTGAGTCATTCGATGGTGCTATATTTAAGCTCAAATGACATAGGTGCTTAAAATTATTAGTCTCCACAAGCTTGAAACTCCAGTCTCCTGCTTCTTCTGCCAGAAGCAGCAAAAACTTTGGTGACTTGGACAGACTTGTGGCTGGAACCTGACACTGTTCTAGTAAACATATTAGCTGTGTGGCAAAATTATCAAAATCCACTAAAAGACCTTGCTGTGCCTTCAGTACTTTAAAGTCATCATCTGTGATGAACAGCGAGTATAAAAAGCAGGGATCATCATCATCTGCCAAAAGAACACATAGTGCCTGGAAAATAATAAATTATGTCAGTCTCTTACACTTTCAAATTACATATTTATGAAATTAAAAGAGTAAAAATAGTCCAAGCTACGTGAAAAAATTTCTTATACTCAAATTACTCTAAAAGAAATTATGCAGGTGTTCGGTTTTTATTTATATATATTATAAAGTTGCATTATAACTCAAGCCTCATGTAAATATCTATTGCAAGGTGGTGCTTCGATAAAGAGAAAAAAATCGTTTTTTTATAATCTCTCGTCTATTAATCACTATTAATTACATTAGAACAGAATTTTACAAATTAATTATTTAACAACAGGATCATATTTTTCAGCAAGCAAGGGCAAGAAAAGTAAAGTGCATCATCAAGCAGACAATGAGCTCGAATTAGAAAAAAACAACTAGTCCTCCGAGCAAACGATACCTATTTACTTACAATCACGTCTGAAGCCAGAGAAAAACATTAGGTTACAGTAATACCCAAGAATGATAAAAAACGATGCAGCAAACCTTGCGACAAACAGGACTAAGTCCAGCGTGAATCTCGACGTTAACACGAAGATCTTTCTGTCGCTCCTCCTTATGTTGTGGTTTGACGTAGACTCGCTGCACTTTTGAGTAGATGACCTCGACGTTGTTGAGCTGTAGAGCAGAATCGCTGCCGGCTACTGCGCCAACAGCAATCGCGTTCAAGAAATTCATGATCCACCGCCTACTTGCATTTTTATCACGAGTACATTATTATATCAAGCAGCTGACAATGAAGAGGGATGTGGAAATGACGCCGTTGCGATTCGCTCTCGCTGCGGGGGCTTTCGCGGCACACACTTTCTACCGCTACCGGGCGTACTATATACTATGCTCGCGTGCTCACCCGTAGTACTACATATAACTACAATGCACAACGCCGCTCTTTTTCGCGACTAATCCTTTTTAATCATGCGCATCGATGTGCATGTGTGTGTGCGCTGACACCGGCCACTTGAATGGTTATATGCTTGTGAGATATGCTTGATTGCCGTTTCGCGTACTGCTTTGGGCTATGATTAAGTGTAATTATTAGATTGCATAGAACAAATGATTTTATTTTTAAAAATATGCAGAGGTATTTTGTCAATATAAATGTTTGTTTGGAATAGTTTACTATTGTTTTATCTTTCCTATGTAAAGCTTTCAATTAATTGCGTATGAAGATATAGATATCAGGAAAAATTATCAGAATCCTAAATGGAGACATCGAAATTGTTCACGAAAAAATCGTTGGACAGAAAATAGCCACTGAACAGAAAGGCGTGAGTGACGAAAGCATCTGTATTACCGGTCGAGATTAGAAATTAAAAGGCGGCGCTGTAGTGTATTTGTGTGCCCACCAGCCCGCAGCACACCAATCCTGTGTCGTGTGCATTGCGAGGCGACTCGATGCGAGACGAGCAAATCGCCGACAGTCGACACGTCTCCCGCCGTAGCGACTATACTACTATCAACGTACCAAAATTACCTCGGTAGCGCCCGCGTGGGTCGCACACCTTCCGCGCCTTTTCTTCCGACTTATTTATTACATCGGCGTTCGGGGTTGTGTTTGGTGTATTGTGTTTGTGTGTTTGTAGTGAAATCATGTGCAGGTAAAAAGCCTGTCAGTGCTCGAAGTGCAAGTTTCCAACTTAATTATTGATTATCAAGCACATACACGTCGCGAGAATTTTTCTTCCTCCATCGGACAAGACGCCGAAAGTCGTTGCATTGTGCATCCGCAGCAAAGGTTAGTCAAGCGACAAGTAATGTTATTGAATGATAACGCGAGGATGAAGATTAGCTTGTTCAAAGAAGGTTATAAAAATGGGTGGTTGAAAAATCTTGTGCGTGCTGGCTGCGCCGGTTGGTCTATCGGCGAATTTTTTAAAAGTGTATCCGTCCGATAGGCGCTTGCGAGGCGGTCCGCTGCGCGGGAGAGAAGGCAGCATGAATACAGCATGTATGCCGAAGCCTTATAATACTTTCAAGGCCTTCTTCGCGACGGTGGTATCAAAGCGTCGTCAAGATTTTTCTCCTGATTGTTTACACTACGTTTATCGAGCGTTGGTTAAATTAAATGCTGTCACGAAGATTTCACGATGGATCAAATTGAATTTTCAGCGGTTTTCGAGCAGTATGCTATTTTATCATGTGGGTTTTTGTGTCGAGTGATGATTGTGCAGCCGGAGTCGTGTTGATAATCAGCTATCGAAGCGATAATAATTGAAGATTATATTTCAAGAATATTGGGCGTATGAGATGATGAGTTAGGGCAGGGCCGCCAAATATTCTCTATGGCCATTAACATTTTACAAGTTCCATTTTTACTGATCGGTGTTTTAACCTCGTGTTGGTTGTGTCGCTCTCTTCATGGCCGACCGTCAGTATTATGCCTGTCGTCTGACGACATCTACATTATTCGTTATTTTTTGACAATGTTATTGTAATGTTTTCAAGCTTGAATTCAGTGTAACCTACATTGATATTTATTGAACATAAGAAAAAAAAAATTAATTCTATAGCATATTCATTCGTAATCGCATCGATGTCAGTAATGATATTAGGCAATAACGTGCAAGTCAAGATTTTGTTCCAACTCGTAATTAAAATTTTTGTGCCACAAGTCTAGTAACGTTTTGATTCGTTAGGTGGCTACGACATCTCTTCACGACTCTTAAGCGGCTGTAAATATCGTCTATCAGTATATAAGCTCACTCGCATCTAAAAACCAGCGTGCAGTGCGATGCTTCTCGGAAACGCGGTAGCTGGCGTGTTGTCGGGTGCTGTCCCTATGCGCTTTGGAACCAAATTAGTCCTCTGGTTGCAAAAAGAACCTAAATCCTAAAATGTAAACGAAGATATAAGGAACTTTATTATAAGATCGTATTGAGAACTTTTGAAACTTTGGTAGCCCCCCCCCCCCCCCCCACCTTTCTTGCACGCAGATTCGTAAAACGAGAAAGTGACGAAGAAATTTGCGTCCGACGATCGTTTGATGGGAAAGGCGAGGGGGGCGGTGGCCGGCGGGAGGGGGGGGGGGTCACAAGTCGAGTAAGGAAAATACGACGGATGGTGCACAGAAAAGACGTTTTTAAATGCAGGTGTGCGTTGGTTGGCGACCTTTGTGATGATTTGGCATAGCTAGTGGAGGGAGCGTCCGGTTCGACGGGCCCGCTACCGCGAGAGTCGCGTTTCGGCAGCGAGCTCCGTCCACATACGGAGGTCCGTGCCGAGTAGCGTCTACGACTGCAAGTTGCTTTTTTACCTAGGCTGCTGTTTTCTGCGCTTTTGTGAAGAAGGCGCACGGCGATTTAACCTTGTAATATAGAATAGATCGAATGTACATATCTGAGATGTCGAGGCGGTCGCGCGATCTCGCCAACGTTCACACGGCTCCGTACATACATCGCGAATGCTGCGGAGCCCCCGCCGTTCGAATATAGGAGCTCTTTTCAATGACTTCGTTAGATCCAAAGGCAACTCGACGAAAAACATTCGTTTCGATTGGAAGCCCTTGTGTTTCTCTCCCTCTCCGATTATCGTCGCGCGTGCAACGATTGAATCGCTCGAGTGTCGTCGGGTTCGTCGTTCAACGATGTTGCGTCAGCGACTGCCTCCTTCACGACAGATTTACGCGTGCGTGTATGTACGCACGCGCCTCTCGTTTCTCTCTCTCTCTCTCTCTCTGTCTCTCTCTGCCCTCGCTGGCGCTGGCGCTGATTACAGTCTCCGCCACTGCTCCTCTCCGCGGAGAAAGAGAGAAGCCTTGGAGAGACGAATGCTGCTGCGGGCTACCGTAATTTGTAAACTCTGTCGGTGTGAGCGCACACGTAAGTGGCTTTTTACGTGGCTGCCTCTTTTTAGAAAGTTCCAGAGACGGCCAGTCGTAGATTGATCGTAGGGCCGTTGGCCATGCGCACGGGCAGCTTTGTTTTGGCGAATATGGACGCGAGAATTGCAGCGACGAGCATGTTGCAACCGAGCAACGGCTCGGCTGAAGCTCGGCGGACTGCTGTTGACACTCTGTGCCATCGTTTGATCTTGTTTACGAGCGAACTTGATTTTTTTACTTTATTTGCTCTGCTCCGCCGTGCTCCTTTGTATTATCTTTGCTCGACCTCTTTGTACTTGGCCTCTCTTTGACAAGTGTTCATTCATGAACCTTCGTCTTGTTATCAGCGGTCCGTTAATAATTTTAGTAATACAAATCCATTGAAAAGCGCGCGGCCGAGCGTAACTGTGCTTTCTTTATTCCGTCCTCCTTATCTTCGCTTCGTGTACTCATTGGAAAATCAATTGCCTTCGGCACGATGTTCGGTAGGTTTTCGTTAATTTTTCGTTGCTCGATGTGCGAACAAACAATCGACTGTAATGCGTGCGCGAATAAGCGCTGTTACCGCGGCTCATCCAAAATATTTACCGGTAGCGTATATTTCTGTTCAACAAGTCGCATTCAAACACCAAACATCGTTATCTACTTGTTTGACCGCGTGTGCGAAATTAAAAATAAATATTTGCGTCCGCGAAAAGAAGGACCGGATGTTAATTTGAGCATTGCAACGTTGCGCGGTAAAACAAAAAAGAAACTGGTTGCTGTGATTATACTTTTATCAAGGCTCGCATAGCTTATAAATAAAGATTAAAAATAAATTAGACAGCGAAAAAAAGGCACAAAAACACGGTATTGCCGAGCAACGCGCTGCCTGGCAAAACGAAGCGCGTTGAACAAAACAACTGTTGATGCAATGAATTATGTAGAGCAATCATATTTTTTCTTGGCTCTCTTTGTTCCTCTTTGCGCCTCTTTCCAAATGATGAACGAACAAAGGAGTATTTTTCCAGTCTACGAACGTTTGGCCATCCGCATTTGGAAAAATAATGAGTCGCCGGCATTACGCCAAGGCTTGAAAAAGATATTTGCTAGTCCCTGAAAACCAAGAAAGAAAAATCCCGTCCGGACCAGATTTTTGCCTTCCTAGATAAGTTTTGGTCGGGAGACCCCGACGAGCCAACAACGACAAGACAAAAATAAGAGACACAAGCCAACCAAGGACGGCTACCCCACCCCTACTCTCCTCCGGCCCGCAGCAGTCTGTAAAGGGGCAAACAAAGGGCCCTTGGGACCCGCATGCGCCACGCCTCCACTATACGTCGATCTACAAGTCCTTGTCTCATACTCTCCGGGAAACGTTGATCTAAGCGCACTCTTTCTTTCGTATGCACGGCTACGTTTGATGTGTCTAATCTAGCTTATCTGGCTTGCCGAGTAACCAACAAATCTATACCTGTCGCATATCGAGCGAAGAAAAAGAAGCGAGAGCTCGAAGGCGACGGCTATTGATTTTGCAACGAAGCGGATTTAAAGGCCAACGGACATTGTGACGGGTCATGGTTTATCGACCTTTATCCACGCAGCGAGCGCGCAGCTACACTTCCCGGCGAACCAGCGAATGACAGAAAACTCTGACCTCGACGATTCGGAGCTTGGACTCGTAAATCGTACACGGCTTTCCCCGAGTAGTTCATATAGTCCTGGTGCTTACAACTGCCTTCATTTTGTGGCTAAACTTATCAGTCGCGCCGAGAGTGCGCCAAGGTTTTATTTTCAGCCGAGTAGGCATAAGATGCCACGCCAGAACGAGCGTCAGAGCGATATATGTAGTAGGAGTAATCCAAGTGACAACGTAGTTCTATCGGTCTGCTGAGAAGTTGAAGAGGCAATAAGCAAAAACAGCTGGTCTCGATGTCTTTTGCCGGAGGTGATTAGCGATGGTGCGCCTCGGTCGCCATGTTGCGATGCTGTTGCTTGCCGCAAGCGGCGCGAAGGGCACGTACGACGGGCATCAGTTTCGGCAACGAAGGCCTGTGTACACGTAAGCGTAAAAGTGCAATTTCTCCGAGCGCTGAGAGAGAGAAAGAAAGAGAGAGAGAGAGAGAGAGAGAGAGAGAGAGAGAGAGAGTGAGAGAGAGAGAGAGAGAGAGAGAGAGAGAGAGAGAGAGAGAGAGAGAGAGAGAGAGAGAGCGAGCGCCCGCGCGAGAAGGGCGAGAGAAGGGGGCAGATGGCGCAAGGAGGGGGTGAGAAAAGGTAGAGAAGGGGGAGGGAAGGGAGCTCGAGCGAAACAAAACTCCGCGGCCGGCCGCGGCGGTAGCTGCGACTGGCTGCGACTGGCTGCGGCGCTGCCGAATCGTCGAGCGCGGCGTTGCCGTTTCTCCGTTCCGTTTGTTTTCTCACGCTGGCATACGGGCATATTCCCCGTTTAAAGAGCTACACGCTCCTGGCGTTCGTTTCTTTTTTCGGGCTTGCTCGACCATTGCTTTCTTGACTCGCCGCAACGCAACCGGCAGAGCCAAGCAAACAACAGCAAATATCTGAGGACATATTCATCGGCGGCTTAGCTGAAATAAGAAAACGGACGAGTACGACGCAGTCGCGAGCTGACACGACACCTGCAAGCTTGGCTCTGCTGATCTGAAAGGCCAGATTTCTGACGTTTCCGATTGCCCTCCCGACAGATGTAACATTAGCCTGGTCTTTATTCGCAGCCTACGCGACATCGAGGTTGCGTGACTGGACGCCTTGCGAGCATATTTCCAACAATAATAACAATCGTGAACCTCGGTCACGAGCTGCGGACATGTTAATTAGCAGCTTTCTCTCGTAAAGATCGTTCCTTTGTGCTCGCTCGACATACGTCCTTTGTTTTTCCAGCCGCGTCGCTCCTCGGCGTACACTCGGACCGACGCTCC